TACGACCCCGCTTAAAGGTCCACAGCGTCATTGCGCCACCATACCTGAAAAGAAATGTGAACCTTCTGCAGAAAGTCCAGAGATGAACAACAAGGGGGTGTCGAGAGGATGGGGCAAAAAACCTATGACGATAAGCTGAAAGACCTGGAGTTTCGCTCCCTTAGTTACTGTAGATTACCTGAAGACTTGGTGACGACTTAAAAAATGCCAAGTAATCCAAGTCGTTCGAGCAGCGGAATCCTTCCAAACAGCCACTGCGACAATCCTGATGGCAACACAAGGAGGATCGCCCACCAAGGGGTGAAAACCCGTATGTATTCAAACTTCTTCTCTTTTGCGAGTTTGTGGCTACTGGAACGTATTGTCTGCCGAGATCGCTTCTGCTCTGTCTGCTGACAGCCTAAACAAGAGGTTGGGTAGCTACGCAGCGACGCTTGGTTTGGGCCCATCCACCTGAGATACAGACTATGATGACACAACCTATTAACATGGCACAACCCGGCACAGCCAACCCTAAGCCGAATCTTTCGTACCTCCACTACAGTCGTGAACCTGGTCCGGCCTCGTGATTTCCTGTAGACTCCCCATTTAGTTACCATCCCCTGTTGATGGTACTACTGTCTCTATTCTCATAACCCGTCCTGTAATCTTACTCGCTCCTTCTCTTCGCTCTAACTGTACGTTCCCCCACACTATTTCGTAAAGTTCCTCCCCATCACTTATCTCTCACAAATCTACCAAAGTTTCTCTCCTTCCGTTCCGTTTTCTTTCTCTCTATCATTTTTTGTTTCATTTTCTTTACACTTCCTCCCCTTTGATTTCCCTAAACATCCTCTTCATCTTCTATTTACAATCAGTCTTACCAACTGTCTAGTGGTATGGCACATTAGAAACCCGTCTACACCACAGTCCTTGGAAAAATCACGCGATCCCTACACATCTAATCAATACCCAATCGCCCGCTGGACTAATCAGGGATACAGCTAAAGAGTAGGTATACCTACCGCATTGGAATCCACCAATGACCTGAAACTGTTCTGCAGGACGGAGAAGCAAGCAGGAAGCAGTCAGTTGGTTTAAACTGGCTGATAAAAAGATAGTGGGTGTTGGATAATCCAGGTTTTTGAAATGAGAGACTTAGGTGTCATCATGAGCCATGGCTGGAAGACACTGGCACGCTTATGCAGCCGCAGCAAAAAGGCCTTCTAGTAATATTTTCCATCCTCAGGGCTTTCAAAAGTTTTGATCGGGATATGGATAGGATACTGAGCGTGCCGTTTAAACAGGGGAACCATTTCTCACGTTCAGCTATTCTTTGCATTTTTTGTGTTTAAACATCAAAGGTTGTCGTATCTCTGCCCTAATCAGAATATTATTCTATTAAAGTAAGACAGGACTTTTTACTGGGTGAGTTTCTGTAGCTTCTGTTACATGGTGAGCCAGAAGTGTCGTAAAAATGCTTGTGGTAGGGCCGGGTGCCACTTCACAGTGGCCTGTGATATGCGAATGTAAGAGTTGGTTCCACGATAACTGCACAAGCCTCACACCTTCAGCATATAAGGGATACAGCAAAGCAGGAAGTGTGTGGCCTTGCACGTTGGGCTGCTCGGATATCCACACTCTGGTAGAGGAGGCAGAAACACTTCTAAATACGATAACTAAGAAACTGTTTCAAAAGTCAATGCCGATAACTGTGATAGTGATAACGACACAGCGTCCACTGACACATGGATTGCTGGGCAAATGTCCCATGACGATCAGTAGGTCGGACGCGCAGACTAACTGCTAGGTTTGCTGACAGAGACTTCGATAAAACTACACCAAGCCGGGTGAAGTGAGTATCTTTTGGCTCTCGCATCCCCAGAGCCGGCACACCCAGCCGTGAGACTAGGTCTACTTCAGATGAAAAAACAAGAGTGAAGAGCTGTCAGTGGCAACAACGGAACCATGTGGGCTGCAGGTTATACTCAATCTGGCGACCCAATCATTGAGAAGAACCAAATAGAGCAGGATGCAATCCCGTTCTGAGGCCCTCAGCGCCAAGGTCATGAGCCAGGCTTCAGTAAACCTTGAATACCCGACTATGAAAAATGGCAAGCAACTAAGTCTAAACGGCGTGCTGAGAAGCTAATAATGGTCACCGGAACAGATATCATCACTTCACAGAGCACAAACAAAATGAAGATCCCTGATAGGTCCACAATCTTTCACGGAGTGGAAGACAGTAGAGACCCAGAACCACATAAACGTTCCGAATATGCCTTAGCAAGGTAAAAAGTGTGATAAACCAGCTTTTGCCAGAAGATATGCCAGGAGTCGCCCTACTCAAGATATGTAAAGTAGGAAAACAGGAGGCAGTCACTACTGAAAACAAGTTTCGGCTACTCAGAGTCGCGCTCAAGTCAGCAGACGAGGGGGATCAAATTCTGAAGAATGCTCACACACTTCAAGGATCTAAAGTGTTCCTGCAAAAGGGTCTGGTTCTTGCTGATCAGATGAAGGAACCAAAGGCAGGAGCACAGCTTAAATCCAGATTAGCAGCTATAAAGTAAGATCTGAAAGTAGTGGGTTTTCGTGTGGTGAAGTTCCGGCAATAAATGATGCCGAAGTCTCTACGGATAGGACGGAAACCCACTTAATTAGTTTCGTTGTCGTGTGAATAAGCGCAAGTCGTCTTTTAAACAGGTGGAATAAGCTTAGTAATGCGATAAACAGCGAAAGTCTTGACATCATTGCTATCTTAGAAACTTCTTCTTCTTGAATCAGAGACTGTGAAACCCGCTTACGAGGATTCGTACCTTTTAGAAGTGACAGGGAAAAAGCAGAAGCCATGGCTGGAAATTTTGCTGATGTCTTTACGCAGGAATCTTCTGTAGACACTTATTCAATAGTCGTAGCAGTGACGTCCAACAGAATAAAGTCTGTGGATATCGACCGCAATCATGTATTTCGGATGTTAAGTAATCTCGACTTGGAAAGATCAACGGGACCGGATGAGCTGCACCCAAGGCTGCTTAGAGAGCTAGTACTCTATGTAGCCGACCCACTGACTACTATATTCAGACTCTCCCAGCGAAGGTACACTCCCCTTACTTACTTGAAAGATGCCATAGTAACACCCATCCACAAGGCAGGTTCTAGGCAGTACCCATCAAATTACAGACCGGTAAGTTTGACCAGTATTGTAGTGAAAATCCTAGAAAGAGTAGTCAAGAAAGCCATCACTGTCCACCAAGAGAGCAACATTATTGTCTCGTTCACAGCATGCCTTTCGCAGAAATTTCTCTTGCTTGACGAACCTCTTTACAGCCAGAGAAATTTGAGTCAAGTCTAAAGGTGGTTGGATACCATAGATGTCATTTTCATTGACTTTAGTAAGGCATTCGACAAAACACCCCATTCCAGGTTGCTCGGAAAACTGGAAAGTCTTGGAATCACTGGCAGTATGGTCGCATGGATAAGAGACTTTCTTGTTGGTGGGAGATAAAGAGTTAATTTCAATTCTCAGCACTCCTCTTGGAAGTAGGTAGAGTGGAGTACCGCAAGGCACAGTCCTGGGCCTCCTACTGTTTCTCTCATAGGTAAGTGAGCTGCCAAATATCGCGAAATCCCCTATGATTCTCTTCGCTGATGATGTAAACAACTGGCGGTAAATTAGGAACGATGAGGCTATACGTGCACTTCAGGTGGACCTGAACAGCTTGATTACCTTGTTAGAGAAGTTGCCGATACCTATCAATGCAGGTAAATGTGTTAGCATGCACTTGTGGCACACACACACAGCAAAAGCTACTATATTGATGGAACTGTTTTACCGTCAGTACTGACCCATAGTGGCCTAGGAGTCACATTGAGTTATGGCTTGAAAACCACAGCACACCGTCTATTGGTACCAGCCCGGAGTTTTAGGACTCCTTGGGCATTACGTAGAACGTTTACGGAAATAAGTGGTGACATGCTCACCATCTTAAACACATCCTTAGTCTGGTCTAAATTAAAAAACTGTACACAGGAGCCTAGTCTTTGTCTGAAAGGTGACGCAGACCTTTTGGAAAGGGTCCAGAGGGAAGCCACTCGCATGACCCCTGCGATGGCTGGCCTCACCTATGAAGACCGACTTTAGGAGCTGAACCTCTCCACTTTGTCCCACTGCAGACAGAGGGAGACCCAACCTATTCAGGATCCTAAGAAATCATTCCAGACCCGATCTATCTTCTCTTTTCCTGCCCACTTGGTCGGAACAGCTCGGAGGACATAGTAGGAGGCTACGAAAACAGAGAACCAACACTGCCTTCTCAGAGTCCTGGTTCTCGCGTCGAGTAATCAACGCCTGGAATAGACTCCCAGAGGAAGTGGTGCCCACACCGTCAACTGACTCATTCAAAGGGGGCTTGGGCAAGCACAGAAATCTGCTAGAAAAGGATCAAAATGAGCTTCAACTCTTCTATCCCTAAACGAAAAATCCGAATCCAAAATACTCAATTCTACTCTCATTAGACCTCACTTGGAATACTGTATTCGGGCGGCTACTTCATGCCTAGAAAAAAATGATGACATACTCGATCGTCTTCAAAGGGTAGATACTGAGCTAATTGCAGGCCTTCTGAATCCGTCTTATAAGGGGGTGTCAGATCATTTCCTTTGTCTTATCGTAGGAAAGGGGGTGATCTCATATTGGTCTGATGCACCTTTAATAATGAATTCGATACTGATATGGTCTATCTTTCTCTCTTCTGCTACTACGGTGTATCTCTAATGTTATTAGAGAAAAATTTAATAGCCACGATCAAACCAACTTAGTGTGAATTTGAGTTCCTCCCATCATATGGTCAACGACTAGCACTCCTTAACTCAGCAAGTGTGTTCAGCTACTTGTGTCACGATATTCAAGTAGAAACTGCATGTTCACGGAGATGTCTGCCGTAAGGACTAAAAAAAGATACTTGGCCCACCATCCGGTAAATGTAAATGGAAAGTATTGGGCAGTTTTTAAAACAGGTAATGGTTTGTGTTTACGTTGGAGAATTGTGTACGCGCGCAGTTCGATGCACTCGAAATCTGCGACTGTGAAATGTAGGTCGCAAGTTTCTGAATCAGAAGGAAGCATTGGTGCAAGGCAGGGTGAAAGCACAGTAAAAGGGAAATTAACGAATGATATTGATCAAATTCTTTTCGAAGAGCTACAAATAGCTAGCAGACACAAATCTAATTATGAAACACTAAAATCTGCATTTACAAAGTTATACGTAAGTTAGATTTCATAGACTACCAATATTACGGTACAGTTAAAAGTGATAATGACAGTTTCCCATCTGAAATTGCAACAACTGGTTTGATCATCAAGTTAGGTACTTAAGTATCCGGTATACTGGATACTGGCTATAGCCAGTAAATGCAGGCTGGGTTGTTAGGTGTTAATATATATCTGTGTATTTATGTATGCATGTGTAATCAAGCTAAGCATTTTGTGGGAAGAACAGGCAACTGCCACAATAAAGCTGAGCCTTCCTCAGATTCATATGACATTTTATGCCCACTTCGATTTTCGGCGACATTTCGTCCACTTCCTCAGAATTTTCCTAGTTCCCACAAAATTACTTCATTTCTATAGACTACTTCAGGATATTTAGCTTCGTTATGAGATTAAAAAACTCACTATGAGCATAGTTAAGAAGGTACCAGTTATTAGAGTTTGAAATGCATAGTAAAAACATTTTCTTGTCAAATATCTTACATCCAGCGTCAATCATGCGAGTTGAGGATACTTGTATTTTTAAGCTCTTGCTTCTAGGTCTTCAGGCTTTTTTATTTTTGTGATGTCTTGATCCTCTGGTGGTTACAGTAGTCTTTATGCTTTCCCTGTTTATGGCTTTGGAGGTTGTGATTATCTATTTGAAGGAGTTTTTTCCTACAAATTGTAGCTTGGTTTGTTTAGAGGGGCGATTGAGCTGTTGATATGATCAATCAACTTTTCGCAATTCTTATTTTGGTAAGAATCTGCAAGTAATTACCAAGCGTTATTCAAACGTAGTGCCAGAAATATACGTTTGTGGAATGAGAAAAGAGGAGTGAAAAGTACTTATGGAAAGATTAATGCTACTCTTAAGGATATGGAGAAAATATGGGTCTTATTGCGGATACTGGGGTTGGAGAATAAAGGTGCAGATGGGATTAGCTTCAGTTGCTTTCGGAGAATGTTCGTGGTAAGCCGTTTGTGCTCACATACTTATCGAACAGTCTTTTGAAGGAGTCAACTGATGTTGCCTTGGCTATTTCCTTCGGAAGAGAGTTCCATAAGGCACACACTGTGTGTGAGGAGTGAGATTCGACTCTCACCTTTTCCCTGTGGTGGGGTGTGCGAGTGAGGTTTCCGTGAGACTGTCGGTTTTGGACCGATATTGTTGTCCTTTTGGGGTGTTTCACCTGAATGATTTTGTAGGCCGTTATTAGGTTGCTTTCCTTCCTTCGTTCAATAAATAATATGAATAGGTTGAATTACCTAAGGCGTTGCGCACATGTTTTGTCTGTATATCTGACAGCTGACCTTCGTAACCCTTCTTCGCACGTTTTTGAGATTACTTGCCCTTCTCTTCAGTAAAGCAGGGACTATCGCGTTGAACGCCTCTAGGTGTTGTCTAGCATAGGTTTTCAACACCATGAGAAACAGTTTTCAGGGGTTAGAACTTGAAGCTACTTTAGCAGGAAGTGCCTATCGGCTTTTACCTTTGTCACCATTCCCTTATATTTAGCACTAGTATCCACAGTATCAGAGACGTTTAGTCCTAGGTCCTTCTCTGTGGAAACCACGACGATTGCACACTTGTTGAGATTGTAGCTGGTTCTCATCGCTTCCAGTGTGCGGAGATACATCACCTTACATTTCTCCAGGTTAAAGCTCAAAACGCTCGCAGCTGACCAGGACTCTAATTGTAACAAATCGTTTTGGAGTATCTTAGGGTCCTCTTCTTTACCCATTGTCCTTCAAATTGTGGTGTCATTGACGAGGAGATTTGAACGTAGAGGTCATTTATGAAGAGTAAAAGGGGAAGTGGTCCAAGGATCGCTCCTCGAGAAACTCCTGTTCTTGCACTCCTGCAGGCCAACCTAGTTCTGTTTGCTTTAGTATAGAATTTTCTGACCTCCAGATATGCTGTAAATCGTGCTATGAGTGGTTCAGTGCTACTCACTTTTATAAGTTTAGCGAGCATGTTACAGTGTTAGACGCCATCGAAGGATTTGGTGAAGTCCATAAAGATTACAAGGGCTCGTTGTTTCATCCAGTGGTCCAGTCATCTCAAATGGTCATCCGATTTGTAGCACATGACCGTCTGGTTCTGAAGCCATGTTGGGTAGGTTGAATGATGTTGTTTCCATTTAGGCAGTCCCAAACAACATCTGCAAGCAGATTTTCCAGTACTTTGGATATTATGGGGAGTAACGACGTTGGTCTGTAATTTCACGAATTTCTTCGGTGTCCTCCATTGAATATTGTTGAAAGGATAGCACGCTTCCGTTCTTTGGAGAGTTGACTTACTTCCAACGAGTGGGTGAACAGGTTGAATATGGGTAAGCTTAACACTTCTACACAGCTCCGTAGGACCACTAACAACCAGGAGATTCCCCTTTTCTGAGTGTTTTAAGTTTCTCAAACACTTGATTTAATGAAATCTTTACGTTCGTCGGCTTTTTATCGCAGCCCTGGAACCTTTTTACATTACTGGATGTTGGTGGGGGATATATAACTGTACTGGTCTACTCGTCACATCGTCTGCTCAACATTTCCGCTATCTCGCTTCTATTCATGGGTTTTCCATTCTGTCATATGATAACGTTTAAGCATTCATTCATCAGTTTTCGTAGTGATATAAACCGATGTAGGCTTTTTGAGTTGTAGCTTAGCTGTTTAGTCAAGTTACTGTTGGATTTTCACCTGTCATTACGAGCCCTTATATTACATAGGTTGAGTAACTTCTCGCAGCTAAGAGAGTCCGGTTCCTTTTGAGATGTACGCGAAATATACCATGCCCTTTTTCTCTTCAGCATTTGGCTCTGGGTTGCGTGAGTAATCCAAAAGCGTTTGAGAGATAGTCATATATTTACTTCCGAATACTTCGATAGTGTTCCAGATATTTTTTACACGCATCCAATGTTCATCTATCGATTGGCAGTGGCATTCTTGTGTCTACGGTGTGTTCAGGAGTCCATTCTCAATAAGCTGGTAGACTAAATTCCACTACTAGCCACTACCCATCATTACTATACATAATTGAAGCACAGGCAATATCGAGGCATCCGCACAGGAGCCCATGTGCCAACTGAGACTGATCAATCCGGTCCAATCAGCTGCGGTGTAATACAAGCAATAACATTAAAACTATACCGTCGCACAAGAAGTGGCTATCGTGGCTCGTTTGTGTAGCGGATAACGCTCTCGCATTTGAAACGATCTCTCCCGAGTCCAAATCTCGGTGGGAACAACGTCACTCACTGGGAGAAGAGTTTACAGTTGATATTGATTGGTTGATCGATTGTCTGTCAGTCTCACTATAAACTGATTAATATAAAGTACATTGTGATTGGTCCATTTCTGGACCAATTAGATGATTCAACAAGATTTTGCAAGTTTGACTTCGAATAACGCGTTGACTGAAATCGTCTGTCTCATTTAGCTTGAGTTTTAAGTGCAGATCTTCAACAACTACATCACCTGTACACTATCAATTCAACTATCATTTCTTCAGTACAAATTCACATTCATTTTTGAACGATCAACATAAAAAGTTAAACGCTGAACATTTTATTGATTGATAGTGACTAGTCGTGGAATTCAGGTTGATAAACATCTTGACTTATTCTGGACTCGTCAGCTGGATGTATCTGCCTTCCAATGTTTTCAAAGACAAGCAATATCGTGGAAATTGTGCCCATATACCAATAGAGACTGACCAATTGTTTGTCTACTCGACAACGTAATAGTACAATCCACAACAATACAAAGCATATTGTGGCAACCGATTGGTTTCATAATGTATATTCGTCATAGACTGATATCCTTTGAGAAATCAGGAAGTACTGGATGGTAGGTTCTTCATTCTGACACAAGATTTCCCAGTGAATGATACTGTCTACAATAGTTGAAGTCTAGATAACAAGACATACTATTCATATGATAGTTTGTAGTAGGTTGGAATGAGCAGTATTATCGGTAAGAGATTTGATGGATATCAGCAAGATATCTCAAAAGACTTTCATGAGATATAGATCAGTGAAATCGTTCAACTCAGTTGAAACAACTAGGTCAACATAGCACTTAAGAACTTGGCGAAAAGTTACTGTTTTCAGTAATATCATTCTCTGAACTATATCACTGCATATATTATTATTCTATTCACATCATAACAGAAATTAAATTCATTTTCTTTAATTACCGTATACTTTGATTATCCTTAAAGAATAAGCAAGTCATCTTGACCAACTCAACATGTATTCATCTACTCTTGTAGAGTAAGATAATATTAACCATACTTAGAGTTCGTTTTCTAAACGCATTTCTGAATATATACCAGAATAGTTTTACAAAGGAGAAAAGAAAGCACCTTGTAGCTGTATTTTACAACATTTGATAGAATATATCTATTCGGTTGGTGCAGAAAATAACTTCAGTGTCATTCACAGAGTTTCTGAAGGTCTTGGGTAAAGTGTACACATGGTTTAAAAAAATTTGTCTAGTCAGTTAAGTTGTAGTGGAAATGGTCTTTAAAATCATTATGCTCTGAAGATTTGATGGCTTATTATGGTGGCAAACAGTGGAACGTATCCTCTTTCACCTATCTAGACAGCATCGTTTCAACTACAGGTGGCACAGACCAGGACATCAAAGCCAGGATCGGAAAATCAAGCAAGATAGTCGTCTAATAGTCTGAAACCAGTATGCAGATCTTCTTCACTCAGCGTAAAGCGTCAACAAGATCTAGATTTTCAATACCAATCCAGTCAAGTCAGTGCTTCTATATGGTTCAGAGACTTGGCGCGTTACGAAAGGTATGCCCAACAAACTACATATATTCATCAACAACTGCCTACGCTGGCTCGATAGTGAAGATCAGATCAGATGGCCAGGAAGAATAAGCAAGGAGGAACTGTGGCTGGCTTGTAACGAACCAACGAAGCAAGAAGCTATCGCTCAACAAATATGCAGAAGAAGGAAGTGGAGATGGATTAGGCGGGCATGCACTGAGAAGACCGATTGGGGACATCACTCGCCAGACCAGTTGCTCGAGTGAAATCCAGATGGGAAATGGTGAGTTGGACGTCCGAAACGAGGGTGACATGGACTAGATGGTGTGAGGGAGAAATGAGATCTTCTGGGTAGTCGTGGAACCGAGTTGAAAAGATTTCAGAGAAGAGAGTGGAATGGAGACGTGCTACTGAAGCCCTATGTTCCAGTAGGAACCTAAGGGACAAATAATATAAATAATATGATAATAAACAGTGGAACCCAGTGAAATGTAATATTCTTCCTATTCCATCGAGAATTACTCGTCAGTTTTAGATGTAATTGTCTCTCAGTGGGATTCGAACCTAGTACTGATTGCTTCAAAACACTAACTCGTTTTTCCATTAGCCTAGTAATCATGAAACATACATCTTGGATTGTACTACTAGTTTTGTATAGGTTTTGAATATGCTTTTTAAGGAATTATCATTATTATCTATGTTCATTCATGTTAATTGGTTTTGTAGAATGCCTATAACCAACTGGAGTCACGTTTCAATTTATCAGTATCAGAGGCAAGACTGAAGGCAAAAGAACAGGCTGATGCACTTCTAAAGGCACAGAATAAATTAGATGCGTATATTTCAACTGACAGGACTGTAAAAGGATTGGATTCCTCATCGAGTAAAGAAACACTAGACATCATGAAGTTAAAGGTGAGATTAAGCAGTTTAACGATTATTATTATTACTAAGTGAACAGAGTGTTTGAGGATAAGAAAGTAATGTTTAAAGGATAAGTTGTAACCATTATCTTTGTCTTCAAGTTTCACGCTTCTGACTAAACTCTTGCATAAATTTTATGTAAAGGTAGACGAAACATGTACACAAGACGTCATTCTCATGGGTAGTTTAAATGAAAGTCTAATATCTCCACTCCATGCCAGTAATTGTCTGCAATATGTAATTTCACTGACTCACTATTTCAGTCTAGAGGCTTTAAAGGATTTGTTGATTTCAACATGGAAGCACTCGACAAGTGTTTTTGTGGTGGACATGTTTCTATTCAACTATTGCATCCTGGAATTCATGATAAACTACTACTATTGTACAATGCAATTGGTTAGTATTTGTTGTCCCACTCAAATCGGTTGATCCCGTAAGTTGTAGCTGTCCATTAAAACTTCAGTAAATCCATCTCGTAGTATATCAATAGACAGTAATTTACTTTATTGGTTACTGAAAAAAAACTATTGTTCTAGTCGGAATCGATGAACCATATTGGTTATTTCAGGAGTGTTACCAGAGTAACTTTTAGAGTCAAATGATGAGTGGAGGCTTGACACATTAGAGGTAAGCTCAAACGTGTATACAAAATTGCCATTAATGTGACAGTTTGAAAAAGTGATCTTCCCAACTGTTCAGGTTGAGTTACATGATTATCTAAGTTAAAGCATATTGTTCCTGTCCAGAAGGAATATGAGCAACAACCAATCAGTTATGAATATCCTTCAAGTGTCTGTGTCCTTGTTATCACTGAGTAACTTTCATACTGAACCGCCTACACTTTTATGACTTTTCTATATGCAATAAAACTGTGAAGCATGTAGGTGAACAGATTGACTTTGCCTTGGTTTGGTCATTCTGAACCCTATCACGACGTGTCGAGGTAGGCAGTGAATTGACATGCAGACCATATGTCCAAACCATCTCAATTGATGAATGTTCACAATCTCATCGACCGTCTTCCCCGTTATCCTTCGCTTGATCTCAGCATTGCTCACGCAGTAAGTCCAGCAGAAACACGAACAATATTGAGAAGATGCCTGCGATAAAAACTCTGTAGCCTGTTTTGGTTTTTTATTTTCAGTGGCCATGTCTCACAACCGGATAACTGGACGGAACGCGCCCCAGTGTAGCATACCCCTCTTTTCGATAGATAGTCGAATATCTGGCTAGTCGACGCCACAGATGATGCAAGTTAGCAAATATCGAACGAATTTTGTGTTTCCGAACTGAGATTTTGCCATCACTAACCCTTCCTGCTTGGCTGATGTAACTTTTGAAGTGAGTGAAATGGTCGACGAATTCCACTACTTCATTCGCCATCCGTAAACTGGGAATAGTTGTAGACAAGTCTTAGAGCAACAGGTTACAGAAAGAAAACTATAAGATTTTCATGAAAATTGAAGTGTAACGTTAATGTCTTTTGATAGCCTGTTAATTGCTGTGCACACTATGTTTTGTAGTTGATAGCATTCAACAATTCTGACCTGGTTTATCAGTTTGTATAATGTAACAGTAGAAGGCTAATGATGATATGTAAGGAATGACAAATATGTTGGTATAGTGTAAAATGGAGAATATATATCACTTGCTCAATTTTATTAGTTCATGTTTGGATATTATTTAGATGTCAAATGAGAGTAACTCTATATAAGAGGAGAATTGTTTGCATTTCCACCTACAGCCTCAAAATAGGATTTTTGTTACTGTGTAAGAAACATTGAAGTCAGGCAAAGGGTGCTGGGCAACCAGGGAGGCGGACTGGCCACGTTGTGAACCTTCATCATCTGAGATGTCTTGGACATGTACTGTGCACACCAAGCCACCGCCACCACCTACCTCGACAAGCCATGCTACGGGAACTTGGTTTAGACTGGCAGAGGATTCAGGGTGCCTAGGCCAAGACGTGGCACAAATATATGAAGTCGTAGTGTTGATATGAGTCATATGGGACGATGTAGACTGTCAAGTTGGAATCCCCGAAGCGAAGGTTATCAGTGGTTGAGAACTCTTAGCATACTATATGAATATGGTCAAAGACGAGGGCTTAAGATAGTCGTAATCTCAGCCCTCCATGAATCTAGACCCTCTTTATGTATTGAAAAACTCTGTATGCTCCTTTCAAGTAAACCTTTATAGTAGGGATTTTAATCTCCATACCAAGTATTGTGTAGTTAAGATTTAAAAAAGACTGATTGAGCGAAGAAATATATTCATTTTCAATTAGGTCCTCATCTTGAGCTCTACACTAATACATAGGTTTACAATTTAATCAAATTACCAATCACTTGGTGTTGTTTCGGAAATAATGAGGTAAGTAATCAATAGAGTTACTAAAATTAGAAATATGAATATTGATGGAAACAAGAAGGGGAAGAGGTGTACAAAGTAAACCTAGAAGTTACATCATGTTGACGGCCATGGTAATGAAAGTGGTCGAATAAACTTCTTTAGGATACAAAGGCTAGGTTTGTGAAGGTGGATTGCAGTCACCTCTGCTATGTGAAGTAACCGAGTGCGTAATCCATGAGGTAAATTAATTGAAATCTGATGGATGATTTTGAAGGCTTTTCCAGTAACCACTTGATGTCTTGTGTCAACTTAGTGTGCAAGTATGGAGGGCTTTATTGTTGTAATTTGTCGCTTGTTCAACCATGATAGGTGGTACTGAGAAATTCGACGTTGGAATTACCACATTGTGCGCCCAATGTAACTAGCTCCACAGGAACAGTTGAATTGATAAATACACATAGAAGTGGCACAATCCGGCAGTTTGCCTTCATTTCTTGCACCTAGAATCGGGTGGTTGTAGAAGGCGAAACATAATTTAGCGGCTGGGAATGCTTTATACAAGACTCTTTTTATGCATTGTGTGATGATCTCACTGGCAATGTCACTCTCAAATTCCAGCTTCAAGAAGATTCGCTTTGTACGAACTGTTGGCATTGTTATCTTAACCCTCGTAATATTCTTTTGCTTAGTTACAAAATTGTCTGGGTAGTCATTCCTACTAAGGAGGTCACAGATGGTGGCCCACTCTTCCTTCATAGCACCCTGTGAGCAAACAGCTGAGATACGGTATGCTAAGGATTTCATCAGGTTACTTTTGTATTGGAGGGGTAACCGTCATGCTAACTGTTACATTTCACGTTGACTGTTTTGACCGTTTTCAATCTTCATGTCTAAATGTGTTGTACTGATGGATGATCACATGTTTCAGATAACCAACTTGTATGCTGCTTAATAATTTGGTTGGATGATTTACCAAGAAAACAGCAATATGTGACTCAAAAAACGCTAACATTTCTCCGGATACTGTCAGAATTGTTATCCTTGAAGATGCAAAGCAATTTCGATGATTCGATGTTTTCTGATCTCTGATATTTTATCGTGGATGTTTGATAACTGAGCTTGTTAGCGTTGTCAGTATTAACTAACAGTGAAGATGTGGCTCATTTGTCTAAGTACCCGGTTTCCAACCTACGCACCATAGATTCGAATAATACTTCACTTACCAACGTGTGGACAGCTAGTTAGTATCACTCGGACATACAATCGAAGAATACTTCATGAATTTTTAAGTGACCGAGTGAAGAATAATAAGTATGAGAATGATACTAATGCAATGAAACACTTGGACTGAATACGAATGTCGACCGTTCTCTGTCTGGATCTTATGCTTCAGAGAGCCATGACATTATATATAATCGAAAACTGACCTGTGACTGTAAGGAAGACACTTTATCCGACAAAAATACATTACTTATAAACAAGTTTTCATTAACATTTAGGCCCATTAGGTTGAAAGTTAAATACCTTATTCTGATTGGTTGACTATAAAACAAGGTTATTCAATGAGCTATTTTCCTGACCACACAGCGATAAGAAACTGATAACTTAAAGTGTTAATTTTCATTTAGATCGCTTCCCAGCAAACTTTGTATTCATGAATTCAGAGAACCTGATTATAAAATAACCATCAATGTATATCGATTTTCCTATTTACACAGGAATTGAGCGTATATTTCCTCATCTTATCTTGTATTTAAGATAACCAATGAACTGGAATCAAAATATCGTGAGCAAATTTTAACTCTAAACTCTGACCTTGAAACATGTCAAGATGAGAATCGATTACTTGTAGAAGAGGTTCAAAATCTTAAGAAGATATTAAGTCAAGAACGTAATGAATTTAACAATACATTAGTGAATACGAAACTGTTGTATGAAGCTGAGGTAATTAGTTTTCAGTGTGTTAATATAACTTTCTTCTGTGTATTGATCATAAATACAAAAGCGTTTTTTGATCCATTTTTGTTTTGTATTAGTGGCGAAGACGTTAAAAGAGTGAATACATTTGCACCGTTACGACTACTTTTCCACCATGTCACCAAGAATTCCCAACCTTTGGTTCTAATCGTCTCGGGAACCCCAATTCGATTGTCTAAACCTTCATCCTTCAGATCACCAGTCAAGGACTTCATAGACCAGTGTTACATCTTGGTCTAGTTACCTTGAGCCTTCTTTCAACCTAATATAGAGGTTGGCAAGTTAATGGAAAAACCTCCTATATCAAGTGATGAAATACATTTTTCAGTTACTTTCAAATCTCCTATCCAATCGATGAATTCGAAGATATCGTGAAGAGAGTGACTGTACAGATTTTAGGATTTCAGAAAGTCACTTTTAAATCAGATGATGGTAGGATAATCCTGATATTATCTAAAAACTGAACGATATGGCATACCAACTTTTTGGTTATTATGTGAACATTCTTAAAGAACAATGCGATTGGTTAGTATTTGTTGTCCCACTCAAATCGGTTGATCCAGTAAGTTGTAGCTGTCCATTAAAACTTCAGTAAATCCATCTCGTAGTATATCAATAGACAGTAATTTACTTTATTGGTTACTGAAAAAAACTATTGTTCTAGTCGGAAACGATGAATCTAATTGGTTATTTCAGGAGTGTTACCAGAGTAACTTTTAGAGTCAAATGATGAGTGGAGGCTTGACACATTAGAGGTAAGCTCAAACGTGTATACAAAATTGCCAATAATGTGACAGTTTGAAAAAGTGATCTTCCCAACTGTTCAGGTTGAGTTACATGATTATCTAAGTTAAAGCATATTGTTCCTGTCCAGAAGGAATATGAGCAACAACCAATCAGTTATGAATATCCTTCAAGTGTCTGTGTCCTTGTTATCACTGAGTAACTTTCATACTGAACCGCCTACGCTTTTATGACTTTTCTATATTCAATAAAACTGTGAAGCATGTAGGTGAACAGATTGACTTTGCCTTGGTTTGGTCATTCTGAACCCTATCACGACGTGTCGAGGTAGGCAGTGAATTGACATGCAGACCATATGTCCAATCCATCTCAATTGATGAATGTTCACAATCTCATCGACCGTCTTCCCCGGTATAGAAGTGGGTGGAAAATAATTACAAAGGATTACATAACGTCGAAATGTTTTTAGGATTTACAAGCGGTTTAAAGAGTAGGGTGAATACAATTCAGGTAGTAGAAATAATGAAGGTTTAAAACAGAACAAAGGTATATAAGTTTGAGTCAGATATAAAAATGTAGATGTATACATTTAGTTGTAAACTAACTACCATGGTAATGCGATGGCAATGTCGATCGAAACTCTTCTACAGCTTTATTTACTTGATTTTAAGCCAAACTTAGGCCAAAGTAAACAGGTTTACCTTAGTATCTTGTTCTATAGAGTAAATGGGGAGGGCCGGAGAGAGTTTAAATCCCGTGCAATGTAACACTTTTAATGGTTTCATTTTGAATCCTAATCTAATCAAGCGCATTTCTATAAGAATAAAATTTAAGTGATATATTGAATTAGAGGTAAAAAGCACCATTTAAGCACTCAGAAAAGAAAACTTAAACGAAGGAATACATCATTTCCTCATTGATACCCCTAAACATTTTCAGATGATCAATGACATCTTGTCAATTTCCAAGTATCGAGGTAATTAAAACAATAGCTAAAAGAACTTTAGAAAGCCTAAATAGGCTGTTGCCTAATAATTGATAATGGTGACTAGGTAGAAGAGAAAATGATTTATCTATTTCAGTCTGTTTATTAGAAATATCATACAGTGAAACAGTAACATATACTGGATAGCTACGGTTCGGACACAATTTATTGTCCATATTCATATCAGGTAACTCCACAACTTCGAGACAGTCTTTATATATTCCTAGTTTTCTCTCCTTCAATGTGATGACAAGGGTAGTAGAATTTTCTATATATCTGAGACAGGTGAAGAATCATTTCGATTGGCTCATGTATTTAGTGTTGATTTGATAAACAAAGATTCAGTCGGTTATCAATCTCTCCTTTAACCCAGTTAAGTTAGTTACCAACACTGTCGCCCTATCCCACGCTACTGTGTCATCGCAAGCAGAGCTATAACCAGTCAAGCTTTTCCCCAGATTTCTTATCTTATCTTTGGTGTAGGACTAGATGTTTGAAGAGCCTCCTGTTTTCAACTATCCATAAATATGTCTGTGACGATAGGGGATATTGGCGATCCTATGGCAACACGTTCAGTTTGTTTATATATTTTATTTTGAAACTTAAAAACAGTAGATGTTAGGCACAATCGTACTCCTAGTACTATTTTCTCGATCGGCACCTTAGTTCTCTGCGTAAGTTCTTTGTCATCCTGAAGCTCATTTATAACTGCTTCTAGAGCGGTGTCAATCGGTATATGTCAAAACTAACCATTTTTTCACTGTCGTTTAAGTGTATATCGTCTAATTTCTGCTTCAAGTCATAAGAGTTGGTAAGTCGAAACTTTGAGTGATTTCTTATTGGACCTAACACCATTGCTAAATATTTAGACAACTCGTAAGTCGGAGTGTTTCTTAAGTCTACTATAGGCCTGATGGGAAGGAAATCTAGAGACTAGTGTCTATAGGAAACCTACCCATTTGAATAGCTACTTAGACTTCGAATCATTCAACCCCATTTCAGTCATAGTAGGCTTAGTTAAATGTTTAAGTGATAAACCGAAAAAGCTTATTAGTAGATCGGAAAATCTGCGACAACAAATTAGATACATCAAGAAAACTCTACGTCTCAATAATTACCCTTGAAAATTTATCAATCAATTCATAAGGTGTAGAAAGTAAAGTACTAGCAGTGGTGGTAGTAGTAGTAGTAATAGTAATACTTTAATAATACAGGAATTATTAATAATAATCCCACTACTAATGGTAATAATGGTGACAGGGTTGAGAGAGAGAAAGAGAGAGATTTCAAAGCCTCTTCTGTGTTACCATACAAAGAAGGCAGGCACCTCAGAAACATTATTCAGAATTCTCAATAAGGCTGGCTGGGATTCAAGTGGGGCGGCATTCAAACCAACAAACTTGCTTAGAAACAAGCTTTGTAGGTTAAAAGATCCTATCGATGCAATTAAGCAAAATAATCTGGTCTACCAGATCCCTTGAAATGATTGCAAGGTCAAGTACATAGGTGAAATCAGTCGACCAGGGTCGATTAGGCTATCCGAGCACAAAAGCTTAGCCAAATCGAGATTAGTAGATCCTTACAAAATAAGAAATTTGGAGAAAAGTTTCGCAATTGCTAGGCGCGCAGTTATACACAATCACACAGTAAGGGGTTCATAGTGAAACATAGGGCTTCAATAGCACATAACCATTTCACTCTCTTCTTTCCAGTCCCATTTTCAACCTGGCTCCACCACTGCCCATTAACGTTCATCCCATCCTCACACCATCTCCTCCATATCACCCTCCGGTGCCCAACTCGTCGTCCCCTATTTGAGTTCCACTCAACTGCATTACCTGAAGCGTGATGTCCAATCTACCACCACTTTCTTCCACATATTTGTTGGGCGGTAGGTTCTTGATTGGTTTGTTGCCACACCAGAGTTCCTCCTTGCTTATTCTTTCTGGCCTTCTGATCTGATCTTCAATATCGAGTGAGCATAGGCGTCAGCTGTTGATGTATGTCTGTAGTTTGTGCGAAATGCTCTTCGTAACGCGCTATGTCTCTCAACCTTCACGTAGAAACACTGATTTTACTCAATTAGTGTTGAAAATCCGGATCTTATCCACACTTTACGCTGAGTGCAGTGCAGCGCAGCGCAGTACTGTTCTGTTCCGTAGATCTTCACACTGATTTCATATGATTGAAGGAAGGCTCATCCTGCTGTCTTTCCTATTCTGGCTGACTGGCTGGCTGGCTGGCTGGCTGGCTGGCTGGCTGGCTGGCTGGCTGGCTGGCTGGCTGGCTTTGACATCCTCATCTGTGCCTGTGCCAACTGTAGTTGAAACTATGTTGTCTAGTTGGGTAGGTAGGTAGTTAGGTGGTTAGGTGAAAGAGACAACTTCATTTAGATTTCTCCCATACGTGGTGATTGGTGCTTGTTGTCGTTGTTGTTCGTTGGGTATCATCATCACCTCTGTCTTTTCTACGATCACCTGAAGGAAGTCCCATCTTCCGTCGCTACCCTGTCTCGCCTCTTCTGTCAACTTGTTCGTTTTCGCCTGTAGATCTTCAAGTTTGTGCTGCATAAGACATTAGATATAAATCATCATCGTTGGCGAAATCAAAATCTTCTAGGGTCTTTCCATCAGTTGAACAGCTTGTGGCTATCTTCTCGCTTCTCCTAGTTGTTTGTTGCATGATCCAGTGGAGTCCAGTTGAGTCGACTACAATCAGGAAGATGATCGGTGATAGTAGGCAACCTTGTCATATCTTACTCCTGTCCTCATTTGACTTCACTCGAAATACATCACTGAGCTCTGCATTGAGAATCACTTGTTATGTAGCATCATATAGCATACAGCTGTTGAATGAGGTTGGTAAAGAAAAAGGTTTTTGGCACTAAAACCGAAATGTTAAAGTAGTTTCCAAATTCTTGGTTGTATTGCTTTCTCTGAGCTGGTTTGTGTAATCGTGAAGCTTTCATCGTCCTTCCAGACGACATCATCAGTAGACCAAAGGATGCAACAACCAAAGAAGATAAACCGAATATCATTTACAAAATCAACTGCAATAACTGTAGTCAACACTACAATGGACAAAGTGATCGTCCTCTCGACCTTCGTCTACATGATCATCAATTGGCTATTAAACGTCACACATTACATTTCATCACTCATTCCAATGCATTTGGATAACGGTTGTGGACATGAATTCAATTTCGACAATGTAGAAATATTGAAGGGAGAGAGGAAACACAGAGAATATCAGAGAATTCCTGGGAGCTTGACACTCAGGTCAGTCAGCAATCAACAGATTTATAGACATAGACTCAATCTGTCAACCCATAAGAAAAATGATAAACAACAGAAAGGTGAGAAGTCAAGCAGAGGGACAGCCAACAGGAAAGTCTATACAGTTAATGAGGCAACAATCGAAGGAAACAACCAATTACAGACCACATCGTCAGAGCAAGCCACTAATTTACTCACGGAGAAATATTGACAGCTAGCTCACTTCATACTGAAGTTAGTGCTGATGATGTCGTCTAGCAAGGCGATTAAGACGATTAAACAACCCAGCTCAGAGAACACAATACAACCAAGACCACCCACCCGAGCTACAAACATTCTCCACTAGTTTCCAAATTATTTCTCAGACAACGCTATCTAAGGCGTTTTCAAAGTCGATGAAGTTGATGTGAACAGTTGACTGCTGTTCTACGCTCTGTTCTATGATGAGGCGTAGTGCTGCGATTTGATCAGCCTATGATTTGTTTTTCATGAAGCCGGCCATTCTGTTCCGGTCGTAATTTTGAATGTAGAGCATTTTTAGTCTGTCCAGGATGATGAGGCTTAATATTTTGCTTGGGGTGGACAGCAGCATGATTCCACCCCAGTTCTTGCAAAGACTTAGGTCACCATTCTTTGGGAGTTTGACAAGGTAGCCCTTCTTCCAGTCTGCAGGTACCTTTTCTTCCTGTCTTTCAAACCTTCTGCAACAGTGGTGTGAGCATGTCCGCTGTTGTCTCTGCATCCGTTTTCAGTCCTTCCGGTGGAATTCTATCTGGTCCTTCTGCTTTCCTGGATTTCAGCAACTTTATGGCATTTAGGACGTCTGCTTTTGTCTGAGGACCTATGTTCACTGGTAATTCTGCCGTTGCTGGTGGTATTTCTAGACGAGTTGCAGTTGGTGGCGGTGGTCGGTCCAGGAGTTTTTTGGAGTGGCCATACCATTGTTTCCTTTGTTTCTCCTCTTTGGTAACTAAGTTTCCTTCACTATCTTTCATTGGTTTCATCTGTGTTGATCTCTTCCCAGATAGTAACCTGGCTATCTGATGGTGTTCCTAGGTATCCCCTACCTGCAGCCTGTTCTGCTTCACTTGGAAATGTGTCGTAGAAGCGTCTTTTGTCTTCGCGCGAACTCTTTTTCACTTCTTTGTTCAGTGTTTTATACGTTCTACTCAGCTCTTCTTTTCGTTGTGCATCCTTGAACTGGTTCATCTTCTGCTTCACCATCTTCCTCTTGTCTATCGGCTTCCATGTGTCCGTCGAGATCCATTCCTTGTCTTGTTTCCTCTTCCTTCCTAGTATGGTTATGCAGGTTTCTTTCCACATAGCTCTCAAAGACTTCCGGTGTTCTTCTACGCCCGATCCTTCAGGGATGCTACTCAATGTCTCCCATTTTGTTCTGATAGCTGACGTGAAGATGTCCCTGGTAGTTTCGTCTTTCAGTTTCTGTTCTGGGTGTTCAAATTGAACTGTGATGTATCATCAACTTCTTTGAAGGTTTTCAACTTGATTTTGAAAGTTCCTTGCACTAGATAGTGAGTGGTCTGAGCCTACATCTGCTCCTCTTCTCGAACTTGTGTCAAGTAGACTGCATCTTCACTTTCTTCACATTGAGATGAAGTCGATCTGATTTGTAGTGCAGTGTGTCTTGGTGTCTGGTGAGATCCATATCGCTTTGTGAATATCCCTGTGTTTGTACACACTACCTCGCCTCCAATCACCAAATCGTTGAATGCACAGAATTATGCAGACAATTCTCCATTCTCGTTCATCACCTCACCGAGTGCTTCTCGACCCATGGTTTGTTCTCTTCCTGTGTTTTCTGCTCTTAGTTTGGCATTCCTGTCTCCCATTAGAATTTTTATGTCACCAACTGAGGTCTTGTCCATTGCTGATTGCAGCTGTCTGTAGAATTCCTCCTTCTTCTCTTGATCTGCATTATTTGTAGGTGCGTGGCGTAGCATTTTACGATTGTGACTTTCCTTCCTTTTGATTTGAATCCATCTTGGTGTCATGATCCTGGAAGAGATTGGTTTCCACTGCATGAGAGCCTTCGAAGCTCTTGGGGACATCATGATAGGCACTCTCTCAGTGTGTTTGTGGTTGTCGTCTGGGTGACTGGAGTACATTAGATTACTGACCCTTCAATTAACAGTTTGGAGAGTCCACTTCCATTCGATCTGCTCTTGTAGATTTCTAGCACTTCAGTGTGATATCTTCTCATCTCTTTTGCAATCTGGGCAGCCTTGCCAACCAGCTTCAAACACTGTGCGGAGATTCCATATCCCAATGTTTACTTTTGCTTTCATCGAGAGAAGACACATCGGCAAATTGGCTTCCCGAAGACTCACCAACCGGCGTCATTTCGTCTCCCTGGCTCCAGAGAGGAATAAGTTTGTTTTTTATATTTCCTGTGTGCTTTAAAGTTTCTTTATTGATTGAATTTGTTTTGGTGGGTAGGATTTCTAACCCTATGCCCAAAATTCACTCTTTATTCGGGCTTAGGACCGGCTAGTAATCTAGGGAACTAGTGAACTAGGTGAGGTTGTGCGATAGAGTGACCGTAATAAAAACTAACTCATTTAGGTGGAAGGAGGGGGCCTAATAACCGAATCTTTACCCACATTCAGCAGAAATGATTCTGCGCCTGTGTCAGATATCTGAAAAATCCTACTACTGTTATTACAAAGAAGGCGAGAGAAACGGTTACCGCGTTCACCACGATACCTGAAAGTAGTCAGTTCATTCCCTACTTTGGCAGGGTCATGGGTGTCTACTATTGAAAAGAATCTCATTTTAAGAAAAAACAGCTATCATTCAGCACTTTCACACTTTCACTACCTATCCAGTTTATATCGTTTTATCATTGATAATTGTTTCCTCAGAAAATGGAGTAAAATGATGCAAATAAGTTTTTCAATATTGTTTACTTACTAAAAACAAACAATAACATAGATTACTAGTCTACGAAAACTTCGAGATGATCAAACTTTGGAAATTAGTCAGTTATCTCTAATCCATAATGCTGAAGATAAGACAATACTCTTGCAAAATGCACAACTACAGGCGAAATGTCATGAACTTACTAAACAACTTGACTATTTCAAAGAGAATTTATCAAAAGAAAGGTTAGTTCCATTGTTAATGATGATTATTATTTTGACTATATGAAATAGCCATGGTTCGGTACTGGGTGATGAATGATTAAAGGTGAAAATTTAAACTACAGCAGGATTTGAACCAGTAATGCTTTAGTAACTGGACTACGATTAAAATGAGAAGTCCCGACTGGACGGTAGTAGCGCATCATGAATTCATATAATAGTCGGGTGGAATCCCGTTTCTGATTGAAGTGAAATAAAAATCTGATAACCGATTGGCTCTGGTAACGCATTTGGTAGAGCATCAAGCTGGAAACCCGATGGTTACTTGTTCGAATCCGGCAGCAGTTCAAATTTTATAAACGTACTACTTAATTGGAGATAAGTAGTCTAAGATATGTTTTGTGAAGGTACATGTCGTTGTTATTTTCTCTGTACATGTAACTTTATAACGCTTGCATGTTCGTGAAAGTTGATGGTTGCATATCATTCTCTTCCTCCTTCATTTTTTTTTGGCATTGGTCCAGTTTTCAGTAGAGTATGAGAACAGGGTAACATTGAAAGGAAGTATTGCTTTGTGAATGTTTTATGAAAAAAGCTCTGAATCTATTTGGAATGGATATTTTTTCGGTAATCTAAGTGCTAAAATACTTCTTGAAAACTGATTTGAATCACTATTCCCTCTATTACTGGAGAGTTGGCTGTCTCATTGATATGGAAGGTTATTTTTAGCCCTGATGAATATACTTTTTTTGCACACATAGATCAGGCTTGAATTAATGAATTGCCAGTGCTTACGCTGTGCACAACTGTCGAAGGTGCACTCCTTTTGAACTGTTCCATCTGACACGATAAATGACACTGAAGGAGGATTCTGGTCGAGCTTTATGTCTAGAGTTGACCAAATGTTCAAGAATTGAATTTTTAAGTGATTTACATTCTCTCCTCGACAATCATGCAGGATAATGCTCAGAGATATGTTTGGAATGCGTGAGCTTTGTACAGCTTAAATAACTAGCTCCACAGAAGCAAGTAAATTTGTAGACACACATCGAGGTGGCCCAAAGTGGCAACTTGTCCTTAACATACTGAGGAATGAGTTGTTGACAAGACAAACTGAACTGTAGCTTCTCAGAGAAGAATGTCTTCTTCACTAATCTGGACAGCTGATTCTTTAGGATCTCTGCTTCTATATCACCTTTGAAAACAACGTTCATAAACAAGACCTTAGGAACTGTGAGTAATCGCTCTGTATTCTTATTTACATTCAAGTTCTTATCAATAAATCTGGATGGATATCCATTTTGCATGAGGATCTTCCGTAGTTTGTCTAATTCTTCGTCGATAGCATCACTGGTGCAGATTCTTCAGATTCCTGAAGATAAAGAATGGATTAGATTCATCTTCCTGCTGAGAGGTATCCACCTGTGGAAATTTAAATATTTTTCGTTCCAAGTAGGCTTCCTATAAATTGATCACTGAAGACAACCATTTGGTCTCTGTTTCAATAAAACATTGAGAAAATGGAATTCTAAGTTCTCTTCAAATTCTGATGTGAAGTTGATCGATGGGTGACAATCATTGAACGTTTAAACTACAGTCTCAAAATCTGTCTGTTGATCAGTTATGATGAATGTGTGTCCATATATATTTTATATAAGTAGAAACTATCAATTGTTGAATCCAGCACACTTTTCTCTAGCTTCGCGATAAAGCAATCAGCCAGAAACGGTCCAAGTGCCGACCCAATAGCAACGCCATCTTTTTGTCCATATAGAATATTAGTGAATATGAACTGCACGTTGAAACTACATCTTAGAAGCAATTTCTTTAAGCAGTAGAGGGGTCTCAGGTTCATTGAACAAGTTGCGAAACTTCAGCAGATCAGGACTAATAAAAGCATGTCATGCTTGCCTAGACTACGGCGAAACTTAAAGAAAGACGAAGAAGACGATATAACTAACACGCAAGCAGTACCAGTCCATGAAGTCTTTGACTATTTGTCTGAACGGTTTAGCGAAATGAAGACTTCTAGGTCCCGTCCATTGGATTCCGCATACTATGACTCATTCTGGTGGATTCTATCTTCATGTGATGGTGTGAGATGTTGTGAATTGAAGCGTTAGGTGCAGTGTTATCAAATCTCATGCCGGTTGGTACTGACTGACTGACTGACTGAAACGGGTTATTGAAACACTCAATGTGTATTGGCTTGTTGTACACTTGATAATCGTGTGAAAATTGAAGTAGTCGTGGTTTACAAGAATTGTAAAGTTGATAAGACGTGAAGGTTAGACTGATGGATGTGTGCAAGAGACAGAAGATGGTTAGATCGATATGGACAGCATGAAGTGATAAGTGAAGGAAACAAGCAATTTGGAAATGGACCGATTAAAATTACGGATGATAGTTAGACTGAGAGACAGTGAATCAAATGCGAATGTGTTTCACGTGTCTGTTCTCATGCTTTGACATTGTGATAGGAGTGACTTTAAAGTCTGGCCTTAACAACTATTGAGACAACCAATCACTTTCGTGTATTTTATAAAATAACTACCTTCATAGCGAGGAGCGAGAATAGGGGGATACGCTGAACCGGAGAAAAGATCCTAGAAGATTTAGATTTCGTCGATGACTTGTGTCTAATGTCACACAAACTTGAAGATCTGCAGGCAAAGTCCAACAAGTTGACAGAAGAGGCAGGGCAGCGAAAACGGGACTTCAAGTGAATGTAGAGAAGACAGAGGTGATGAAGATACCCAACCAACAACAAGCTTTAATCACCATGAATGGGAGAAACCTAAAGGAAGTAGTCGTTTTCATCTACCTACCTAGGAGGCAGCATCGTTTCAACTACAGGTGGCGGCACAGGCACAGATGAGGATGTCAAAACCAGGATCGAAAAAGCGAGACAGGCAATCACTAACCTGAAATCAGTGTGGAGATCTACTGCACTGCACTCAGCATAAACCCTAGACAAGATCCGGATTTTCAGCACCGCTCCAGTCGAGTCAGTGATTCTATATGGTTCATGAACCTGGCACGTCACGAAGAGCACTTGCAACAAACTACAGACATTCATCAACAACTGCCTACACTGGCTCGTTACTGAAGATCAGATGACCAGAAAGAATAAGCAAGGAGGAACTCACTCTGGCTGACAACAAACCAACGAAGCAAGAACCTATCACTCAGAAAATATGCAGAAGGAGAATGTGTAGATGGATTGGGCGGGCATGCACTGAGAAGACCATTCGGGGATATCATGTGCCAGGCCTGGTACTCGAGTGGAACCCATATGGGAAAAGATGAGTTGGGCGTCCGAAGGTGACATGGAGGAGATGATGTGAGTAAGAAATGAGAGGTTGTGGGCAGTGGTGGAATCAGATTCCGAAGATCTCAGAGAAGAGAGTGGAATGGAGGGGTGATAGTGAAGCTATATGTTCTACTAGGAACCCAAGGGACAAATAATAAGAATAATATAATAATGCGGACACCTGATTGGCTACTTTAGCAGTTTGTACAGCGGCCTTTAAAATCGCTCTTAAAGTCACCTTCTGATAAGCCGTCTAGACTTTAAAACCCCCGCGTTATACTTTCACGTTTTCTGTGTCAAAACATGTCTGCTCGCCTCTTCTCCATTAACTAACCAGGTTGGTACATCGACTAGGAACGTTGGTGGCTTATAGTCGAGGTTCGTACATCAGTTAGTGGCTGTTGGTGCTTTGTAGGACAATTTAATGATAACAATCAATTAATTTGGCAGTCACTTGCATATTCATGAAATAAACAATAAACCTATCTGTTTTATGAAAGCAGATGTTGCTAGCTTACTGCTCAAACTTCAGTAGGTGAAACAATAATGAAATGTACTACACACTGGTTGCAGGTTGGGTCGTTCGACCAGAAATCAACAGGTCATCTGTTCAACCTCCACTACCATACCATATGTATCACCAACAGAATATCTTCTCTGCCTTGAGGATTAAATTTTGGAGGGTAGATAAACCTTTGATTTAGGTAACTTGGGAGGTGTTATGCATCTTTAGTTACTGGTAATCGCAACCCACTGTATGTAGCTGAAGTAGGAATAGTTTGGAAAATGGCTAACAATGACAAAACCGGAACACGGTACCAATGGTTAGGAGTGGAAGCGCTTTTCGTCCTGTTTAAGAATCCTTAGCTAAGTGCACCTCCCCCCCCCCCCCGTGAGTAATGTTGTTCTCACTGACACTCGAACCGAGAAAGTATTGCTTCAGACACCCGAATGTTATCCACTAGGCATTAGAGTCACGATAACCACTGCTTGTGTAACGTGGTTAGTTCTGAAGTTAGACCTTATGGTCCTGTGTGGTGAAACACTTTACTGAGGTATCTTGAACATGTGCTACACATGTCTAACCACTGCCAGCTACTTTGATATGCAAACCTTAGGGAAGTTGAGTTAGATTGGAAGAGGGTTCATGTTGGTCAGACCAAAATGTGGCAGCAGTGCAAGAAGTCTATTATTGTTGATCTGAGTCGTGTGGGAAGCTTTCGACTTATATGGCTGGTGTAGTCAAGATGATAGAAATCATTGGTTTAGAACTGTTGGTGACATGCTTGAAAATCTGTCACAATGGTGAAATGTAACCAGTTGAACCGATAAACTTGTGTATTATATGTTTCTATGTTGATTTTAGTCTGTCTGACCATTTATAGCTGGTATTATTGTTGTTCTTTCTCATGTTATCAGAGATCAAAATCAATCAGATAATTATGAGCAACTTCAAATGTGTTCTGATCTGAAAGCTAAGAATATGGAATTGGAAGCATTGTGTTCTACACAAAAACATCAAGTAAGCAAAATTATTCTGCAAAACAATAACTGAAATCATCAATTTTACATTGAATGAAAAAAGTACAACATACCTAATCACTCACTTCTGTTTCTCAGGGTTAATATATATTATTATTATCATTATTTGTTCTTGGGTTCCCACTGGAACCTACGGCTTCAGTTGCACGCCATCATTCCACTCTCTTCTCTGCAATCTTTTCAACTTGGCTCCATGACTTCCCATGAGCTCACCCTCGGACGCCCGACTTCCCGCTTTCCAACTGAGTTCCATTCGAGTGCCTGGCCCGACGCGTGATGTCTCCGAATGGTCTTCTCAGTGCATGCCCGCCCAATTCATCTCCACATTCTCCTTCTGCATATTTTCTGAGTGATAGGTTCTTGCTTCGTTGGTTTGTTGTCAGCCAGAGTGAGTTCCTCCTTGCTTATTCTTTCTGGTCATCTGATCTTCAGTAACGAGCCAGTGTAGGCAGTTGTTGATGAATGTCTGTAGTTTGTTGCAAGTGCTCTTCGTGACGTGCCAGGTTCCTGAACCATATAGAATCACTGACTTGACTGGATTGGTGTTGAAAATCCGGATCTTGTCTAGGGTTTATGCTGAGTGCAGTGCAGTAGATCTCCACACTGGTTTCAGATTTATGAACGCCTATCTTGCTTACTGTTCCGATCCTGGTTTTGACGTCCTCGTGTGTACCTGTTCCGCCTGTAGCTGAAACGATGCTGGCTAGATAAATGTTGGTTGATATGTGTACTACTTATAAATATTTTTAAAAGTAGTCATCGTATATTTGCATTTTGTCAGTTCATTCTCTGATCTTCATTAAATGTAATAATAATCTTTAAAAAAAATATTTCTTCTAGTGAATTTTCATCAGTTTTTACAGTTGTTGAATGAAAATTGCTCAAGATAAGAAGACAAGCCACGTTTCAAGCTAGTAGATTTTCATAATACAATGCCAGAAGGGAAGACTAATGCATGAATGATGTCTGACAGTATTCCTTCTGAATGCTGAGTTGGGATTGAATGAATATTATTGCAAACATCTTAGGTATATAGATAAGGCGTTAATGATGATAATATTAGAAGGGACCGCACCATGTGTAAGAGAAAACACTTTGTGAGATAAAGGATACAGGAGAATCGATTAGGAAAAATTACCTAATCTATCAAATACCATGTCATGTGATGGTCAGGTCATGTGTATAGGTCAAAGTAACCAATCCAGGTCAGTCAATATAGAGGAGTACAAACATTTAGATAAACACACTAGGCCAGACTGTTATTCCATATTACATAAATACCACACAGTCATACAGTATAATTTACCCAGTGACATTTCTAGCACAAATTAGTCGTAACTCATAATGATTTCTCAATGTGTAATGACACTTATTTCGACATCAGATTTCTTTAGTCTTATCAATCACCTCGTATTGTTTGTAAAATGTTGCATATCTCTGGTATAGGTGTTGCGTCATTCCTCTTAGAGACATTGGTTACCGATTTCACAAACCAGGACTCAGTAATCAATACCTGTCTGTCCCTCTCCACCCAATTATATTGAACTTCAGTCCAATGTGGTTGTGTTTTAATGCATAAATTGCTACAACTAAGTTATCCTCTAGATCGTTGAGCTTATTCGAGTTTGTCATTCTGTTATCAGCTATATTCCTATGTTCTGCTAATCTAACTAACTCCGATCGGCTAGATTCACGTATATACTTGACATCATAGTCACTGCATCCAATTTCACAGATTAGATTATGTTTCTCAATTGGATTTCTAACTTGCTATCCATTGGACTCCACTTAACATGACTCATTCTGGTGGATTCTATCTTCATGTGATGGTGTGAGATGTTGTGAATTGAAGCGTTAGGTGCAGTGTTATCACATCTCATACTGGTTGGTACTGACTGACTGACTGACTGAAACGGGTTATTGAAACACTCAATGTGTATTGGCTTGTTGTACACTTGATAATCGTGTGAAAATTGAAGTAGTCGTGGTTTACAAGAATTGTAAAGTTGATAAGACGTGAAGGTTAGACTGATGGATGTGTGCAAGAGACAGAAGATGGTTAGATCGATATGGACAGCATGAAGTGATAAGTGAAGGAAACAAGCAATTTGGAAATGGACCGATTAAAATTACGGATGATAGTTAGACTGAGAGACAGTGAATCAAATGCGAATGTGTTTCACGTGTCTGTTCTCATGCTTTGACATTGTGATAGGAGTGACTTTAAAGTCTGGCCTTAACAACTATTGAGACAACCAATCACTTTCGTGTATTTTATAAAATAACTACCTTCATAGCGAGGAGCGAGAATAGGGGGATACGCTGAACCGGAGAAAAGATCCTAGAAGATTTAGATTTCGTCGATGACTTGTGTCTAATGTCACACAAACTTGAAGATCTGCAGGCAAAGTCCAACAAGTTGACAGAAGAGGCAGGGCAGCGAAAACGGGACTTCAAGTGAATGTAGAGAAGACAGAGGTGATGAAGATACCCAACCAACAACAGCATCAACAACAAGCTCTAATCACCATGAATGGGAGAAACCTAAAGGAAGTAGTCTTTTTCATCTACCTACCTAGGAGGCAGCATCGTTTCAACTACAGGTGGCGGCACAGGCACAGATGAGGATGTCAAAACCAGGATCGAAAAAGCGAGACAGGCAATCACTAACCTGAAATCAGTGTGGAGATCTACTGCACTGCACTCAGCATAAACCCTAGACAAGATCCGGATTTTCAGCACCGCTCCAGTCGAGTCAGTGATTCTATATGGTTCATGAACCTGGCACGTCACGAAGAGCACTTGCAACAAACTACAGACATTCATCAACAACTGCCTACACTGGCTCGTTACTGAAGATCAGATGACCAGAAAGAATAAGCAAGGAGGAACTCACTCTGGCTGACAACAAACCAACGAAGCAAGAACCTATCACTCAGAAAATATGCAGAAGGAGAATGTGGAGATGAATTGGGCGGGCATGCACTGAGAAGACCATTCGGGGACATCATGTGCCAGGCCAAGTACTTGAGTGGAACCCATATGGGAAAAGATGAGTTGGGCGTCCGAAGGTGACATGGAGGAGATTGTGTGAATAAGAAATGAGAGGTTGTGGGCAGTGGTGGAATCAGATTCAGTAGATCTCAGAGAAGAGAGTGGAATGGAGGGGTGATAGTGAAGGTATATGTTCTACTAGGAACCCAGGGGAGAAACAAGGAATATATATATATATATATATATATATATATATATATATATATATATATGTCGTAGTTGCAATCAAACAACAGGTGCACAGAATTAGACTGATATCAAAGAAGACAATGTTGTGTGAGATAATACAGTATCTGAAGATAACGGTTAGTTGAAATATTCGAGCTATCGAAGACATCAGAGAGAGAATGCATCTGTACCACAGTCACCGATTTTCAGCTATGTCAGCAAGAATCCCCAACCACCGATTCCTTATGTTTCGGGAACCCCAACAAGACAGTTTACATCTCCTTCACAACACTTTGACCAACATTCATCGCCTTGATCGACTGGTGCCCCGTCTTAGTTTGGTCCCCTTGAACCCTCTTCTAACCTTATCTCACTACCCTCCACCCCCAGCATAGAAATTTGAGGTAGACAGTGATGGCTTGGCACGTGAGATATATGTTCAAGATACCTCAGTCGACTAAGGTTCATATGTTGTGGATATTTTTGTGATTATACTATTACTGAATATCACAGAGTGTGGTCAACCAGGTATATTTCTTGATACGAGAACAAATACCCGATTGGTTTGAAAAAGGTGTACTGAAACAGGTAAAAGTCCTATCTTAGTCCACCTGGTAGACACAGGCCATAATATAGACCAGGTAATGTCATACACCATACTGCAGAAATAATACCATGTGCAACTCACCAACGCCTTCTCACATAGCTGAGGCTGTAAACAACCAGATTCAATAAACCAGAATTCTGTATTCAGAAAGGGCAACTTCAGGCGTCATTCCTCTGTTAGGCTTCAGTAAAATAAAGACTGCTACTGTCCTACTCATTTTCTACCTCTTCCTTGACTATCACATTCGTAATCCTAATATTTTGACTTGGAGATTTTTAGGCAACGTTTAAACAGGATTTTAGATGAACGTAGAAAAGACAGAGGTGATGATGATACCCAACGAACAACAACGACAACAAGCACCAATCACCACGTATGGGAGAAATCTAAATGAAGTTGTCTCTTTCACCTAACCACCTAACTACCTACCTACCCACCTAGACAACATAGTTTCAACTACAGTTGGCACAGGCACAGATGAGGATGTCAAAGCCAGCCAGCCAGCCAGCCAGCCAGCCAGCCAGCCAGCCAGCCAGCCAGCCAGCCAGCCAGCCAGCCAGCCAGCCAGCCAGCCAGCCAGCCAGCCAGCCAGCCAGCCAGCCAGCCAGCCAGCCAGCCAGCCAGCCAGCCAGCCAGCCAGCCAGCCAGCCAGCCAGCCAGCCAGCCAGCCAGCCAGCCAGCCAGCCAGCCAGCCAGCCAGCCAGCCAGCCAGCCAGCCAGCCAGCCAGCCAGCCAGCCAGCCAGCCAGCCAGCCAGCCAGCCAGCCAGCCAGCCAGCCAGCCAGCCAGCCAGCCAGCCAGCCAGCCAGTCAGCCAGCAAGCCGGCCAGCCAGAATAGGAAAGACAGCAAGACGAGCCTTCCTTCAATCATCTGTGTGAAGATCAATGTGAAGATCTACTGAACAGAACAGAACAGTACTGCGCTGCACTGCACTCAGCATAAAGTGTGGATAAGATCCGGATTTTCAACACTAATTGAGTAAAATCAGTGTTTCTACGTGAAGGTTGAGAGACATAGTGCGTTACGAAGAGCATTTCGCACAAACTACAGACATACATCAACAGCTGACGCCTATACTCACTCGATATTGAAGATCAGATCAGAAGGCCAGAAAGAATAAGCAAGGAGGAACTCTGGTGTGGCAACGAACCAATCAAGAACCTACCGCCCAACAAATATGTGGAAGAAAGTGGTGGTAGATTGAACATAGACTGAGAAGACGGTTTGGGGACATCACGCGCCAGGTCAGGCCGTTGAGTGGAACCCAAATAGGGGGATGACGAGTTGGGCACCCGAGGGTGATATGGAGGAGATGGTGTGAGGAAGGAATGAAAGTGATGGAGCCAGGTTAAAAATGGGACTGGAAAGAAGAGAGTGAAATGGTTATGTGCTATTGAAGCCCTATGTTCCACCAGTAACCCAAAGGACAAATAATAATGATGACAATAATGAGATTTGACTGCTGATATGATGTGAACAGAGTTTAACAGATGGCATGCAGATATGGTGAAATATAATCACTTGTGCATCAGTCATTCATTCTGGAAGAGTTTATTTTAGAAAGATCGCTGTTTGTTGCGGGAATAGTTATGTATCATTTATTTATTTGTCCTTCGGGTTCCTAGTGGAACATAGGGCTTCAATAGCACATAGTCATTTCACTCTCTTCTGATCTAATCTTCAATATGGAGTGAGCATAGGCGTCAGCTGTTGATGTATGTCTGTAGTTTGTGCGAAATGCTCTTCGTAACGCACTATGTCTCTCAACCTTCACGTAGAAACACTGATTTTACTCAATTATTGTTGAAAATCCGGATCTTATCCACACTTTATGCTGATTGCAGTGCAGTGCAATGCAGCGCAGTACTGTTCTGTTCCGCAGATCTTCACACAGATGATTGAAGGAAGGTTCATCTTGCTGTCTTTCTTATTCTGGCTGGCTGACTGGCTGGCTGGCTGGCTGGCTGGCTTTGACATCCTCATCTGTGCCTGTGCCAACTGTAGTTGAAACTATGTTGTCTAGGTGGGTAGGTAGGTAGTTAGGTGGTTAGGTGAAAGAGACAACTTCATTTAGATTTCTCCCATACGTGGTGATTGGTGCTTGTTGTCGTTGTTGTTCGTTGGGTATCATCATCACCTCTGTCTTTTCTACGTTCACCTGAAGGAAGTCCCATCTTCCTTCGCTACCCTGTCTCGCCTCTTCTGTCAACTTGTTCGTTTTCGCCTGTAGATCTTCAAGTTTGTGCTGCATAAGACATTAGACATAAATCATCATCGTTGGCGAAATCAAAATCTTCTAGAGTCTTTCCATCGGTTGAACAGCTTGTGGCTATCTTCTCGCTTCTCCTAGTTGTTTGTTGCATGATCCAGTGGAGTCCAGTCGAGTCGACTACAATCAGGAAGATGATCGGTGATAGTAGGCAACCTTGTCGTATCTTACTCCTGTCCTCATTTGACTTCACTGGAAATGCATCACTGAGCTCTGCATTGAGAATCACTTGTCATGTAGCATCATATAGCATACAGCTGTTGAATGAGGTTGGTAAAGAAAAAGGTTTTTGGCACTAAAACCGAAATGTTGAAGCAGTTTCCAAATTATTTCACAGATGACGTTATCGAAGGCGTTTTCAAAGTTGATGTGAACAGTTGACTGCCGTTCTATGCTCTGTTCTATGATGATTCATAGTGTTGCGATTTGATGCGCACATGATTTGTTTTTCGTGAATCCGGCCATTCTGTTCCGGTCGTAATTTTGAGTGCGGGGCATTTTTTTGTCTGTCCATGATGATGAGGGTTAACATTTTGCTTGGTGTGGACAGGAGCTTGATTCTGTGTCAGAGTGAATAGTTAACCGATAGTAACTTAATTGTTGTTTGATACGTACAATTTCTGGGTGTTATACGGGGCTGAACTGCCTAACCTCTGTTGGTAGATATGCTTCTATGCGAATCCTCGATACTTCTGGATATTCATATTGTTGTATTCATCTTGATGACCCATAGAAGTATCTAATTAGGACAAAACGCGTATCCTCGATTTTACCATGAGTAATCAAGATGAAATATACAATATGAACACCCGACAGTACCGAGGCATCCGGATAGGAGCCCATCTACCAACTCTGTATACCAACGAGAAACAAAAAGTGATAACTGTAACACTATAGGTAACCTAGTGAATAACGCTTTGACTTTTGAAGCAATGACAAGTACTGAATTCTTGTCTCAGCAGGAACATAACATCATTCGCTAGAATCTAGGTCCATTTAACTAATTAATAAGCGCAAAATAAGGTGAAACATTCATCCAACTGTATTCTATTCCATCCTTATTTCTTTTTTATCAGTTAAACATTTTAAACGAAGAATTGAATGGTTTACAGAATGAACTAATGAATCAACGTCAGACAGCTTTAGAATCTACAAGATGTAGAATGAAAGCTGAACAACAAGTCGAAAAGTTGTTACAGTCGACACGTGTTGAATTAGCGAATCTACGCAGTGAAGCACAATGTCAAAAGTTTGATATAGAAAGACAACGTAACGAATTGATAGAGAAATCTAAAGGTAAGTGCGTAATACTGGTTTATTTATTTGTTTACTTTATTTTGTCTTTCCTTTTTCTCTTCTACAACTTCGTCCCTTTCTTCCTCTCCTCCAAAACTTCATTTCCTTCTTTTTTCATTCCTCGCTTCTTTCACTCATTCCTTCGTTCGTTCCTTCCTTTCTCTGTTCTCTTCCTTCGGCAACTCTCTCGCTTCACCCATTCCTTTCTTCACTCACTTCTTCATTCCGTAACATTCTTCCTTCCTTCTATCCTTCTTTCTACAACTTCCTTTCTTCCACAAATTCCACCCTTCTTTCCCTTTTTTCATTCCTCATTCATTCATTCATTCATTTATCACGTAGTCATTTCATTTCACATCTGGTGTTTTGTCACCACACGATCGGTTAGCTTGTAAGCGATTGTGTCCTATTCTCTACAGTATTGTAATCTGTCTTGTTGAATGAATTCTAATATATGTGTATACAACCCAGTCTTACAATGGGTTACTCCAGCCTCGAATGATGCAGATTATAATGGCTTAGGGAACACCAGTTTTCTCAGGGTTTCAGATATTTCTCGCTGATTAGTTCTAACGGGGACGAAACGTAGGTGATATATGCCTTTCTTTCAATTCACTCTTACCTCCCAAAACCCTGCAGCATAGTGTTATATCACTTCTGTTTGTGATGGTATTGGAGAAAATTAGGTCGGAAGATTTGTTTCAGTGCTAAACAACTACATTCATCGGTTACGTCACTGATGACTAGTTGATTTATACAAACTGATCGTGCAATGTACATTTTATTCTATGAAAAAGGGTTTTGTTAAAAACGACCTCATTTAATAATGGTTGTTTTTCTTTTATCAACAAATGATCTAGTGATATGTGGAATACACATTTTATTCTACATATATTCAGCTGAAAAGTTTTAACAAATTGTATCATGTTTAAAGTTCTGTTGATATTAAATTTAGTCGATGAGGTTGTAAACCTTTCGTTGATTGAGGCCGGTTGAACATGTAATACACATGCCAAGCCACTATCTACCTTGATGTTCAATGTTAGGAGAAGTTGGATTAGGTTGGAAGTGGGTTCAGGGCGGCCAAATCAACTCGTGGCATCAATGCATGAAGTCCATGAATGTTGATATGTCGAAAGGTGCAGACTAACTGGCTGGGGTCCTCAAGATAACAGGAATCGGTTATTGAGGGATCTTGGTGACATGGTGGAAAATCTGTTGAAGAGGAGACTGGCATAGAAACTATCATTTCATTAGCATATATGACAAAATTGTTACTAGTAGAAGATGGTAAGTCATGCAGAAAGAAAGAGAAAGAACCATGGGAAAAGAATGGCACCTTGGGGAACACTAGCCTCAGTAGACGATCAAATGGAGCGCTTCCCTCTTTGACCAGTATAAGTAGGAATACATTCAGCTGATTACCTAAAATTCAGTAGGTGTTTCAGATACCTTGTGAAGTACTGTAGTATTGTCTAAAAAGACGCACCTGATATGCTTGGCATTTCTATCAAAATTGTAAAGAATATTGTGATATAAGACAATTATGGTAGTGTCCAAATCGATTCATTGTCTTCGCTGTACAAATTGATTAGAATCTCCTAACTGGGTGTTACACAACACCGTCGTATAAATTCTTGACATTGCCATTCCCTTCTTTTATTGATTAATTGACTGATTCGTAGGTGAAATTGAAGATTACATCATATAAATACGATAGATGAAAAATTTCGCAATGAAAAACTTAAAATGATTGAAAAAATTCTCATTTCAACTATCTGTTCAATCACTCAATATACACCAAGTAAATACTGGTGAAAATATTGATGCTTGTAAGCATATCGAATGAAAACAGTTGGAAAATAACTAGACAGTCTTGATATACTACTTATGATCACTTTGTAAGGTTTTGGTTGACTTGTATTTCTTTCTTAATAATCGTTTGTTAAAATCAACCAATTGACAATGATAGATCATTGATCAAGTGTGATTAACAACCTTACCACCCCACCATTGTTTCAACCAAATACCTTAACCTGATCATATAAATATCTAACTGATGAGTCGAAATATAACACTAACAACTGTTCACCTGCCTTAATTTATGCTAACAACAATCAGATCAGATTGTTGATACCAAGCAGGGATATGAACAATGCTGACTTCTCATGTAAATAATGAATTAACACATAAAGATTTAATCACATGATATCATTCAGGATGGACAGCCAACAGTTGTACAACCAATAAAAACATGACATCATTCGACTTTCCAGAAGTGTATATCATCATAGATGAAAATTAGGATATATTAGATCTCATGATAAGCATATTAATAATTCAATGGCTCAATTGGAATCGAATCGAATTGATGTAGATTTTTCATACTGAAATACATCAACATCGAAAGTGTTTCCTCTTTTAGAAGATATTGAAATATGTTTCAATATTCTTCTTATTTTTTAAAGAAAAAATCTATCTCAACCATTTTTATTTGATTTCATTTCTAATATATATTCAAAGGATTTGAACATGAATTGAATGTATTACAATCATGTCAACCGATTATCAATCAATTTTCTAGTGATTTATTAATCAATCAGATAAAAAATGAAAATCATGATGAAAAATTACAGGAAATAATGAAATCATTACGTAATCACTTTGTAATGCATATAAATGAATTTGAAAATAAAGTATCAAGTATTTCAGATCGTTTAAATTTAGAAGTTGATCGGATACAAACATTTCAGGTAATATTTTTAGTGTATTTAAAGAAAAACATAATTTCAATTTTATAAAGATTTTATTTGTTTACCATAGTGACTAATTGGAGAAGTATTGAAAACTTAGGGGACACGGGGGGGGGGGGGGGGGAGAATTAGACAGCGTTACTCACCTGCAGCATCATAAGGTATCCAACTCAGAATCTTCAACTCTTGGAGCCTTCTGAAAGAAGTATGAGAGTGTGAACCATTCGATATCGACCTGTTAGTTGAATGGTCATATATTTGCCTGTAAACGTGAAGATCCTGGTTTTTGTGCTATATGGAGTCGACCGTGAAGACAGCTGATGAATCGATTTTCAATGGTTCTCCAGCTGATATCAGTTCATGATGTATTCAATCAGTCATTCTACACTGACCTCCAAACTAAGAATGATTATCTCAGATATTGTAGTCATGGTGTTGTCCGCGACCAGATTGATAGCTATGCATTGAACTGTGTCAATTACTATAAGGTTGCTATTTTTGTAATTGTTTGTTTTTGGTATCTCGTATTTCCTTTTTAAAAAGTCTGTCACGATTCAATTGTGACTACCAGTTAAAGAAGACTAGATCATAGAAACTAAAGTCGATGAAATAATGTTTGAATCCTAGATACAACAAATAAATAGAAACTCACATTGTCAGTTTGACTATGTTGGACAACAACCTCACCTGGTTAACTAGTTCACTAGTTACTAGCCGGTCCTAAGACTACCTAAAAAGGGAAAATTGGCCATATGCCTAGCAACCCTACCCCGTAAAACCAATCCAACTTCAAAGCACAGACAAAATCTAAAACATAAAATCAAACTTATTCCTCGCTGGAATCAAAGAGACAAAATGACGCCAGTTGGTGAAAGCCTTCGGGAAGCTAATTGGCCGATGTGTCTTCTCTCCGTCGACGAAAGCAAAAGTAAGAATGGGGACATCGAATGTCTACATCATGTATGAACCTAGCAAGGCTGCCCAGATTGCAAAACAGATGAGAAGGTATAGCATAGAAGTGCTTGGAATCTGCGAAAGCAGGTGGAATGGAAGTGAACTCTCCCAACTCTCAGCTGCAGAGTCAATAATCTACTCCGATATTGTCACCCAGACGACAACCATGAGTACACTGTGTTTTGGAGTGGCTACCAAGATGTTCCCGAGAGCGTTGAAGGCTCACTCTCATGCAGTGAAAACCAATCTCTTCCAGGATCATGACAACAAGATGGATTCAAATCAAAAGGAAGGAAAGTAACAATCATTCAATGCTACACCACGCACATACAAATAATGCAGATCAAGAGAAGAAGGAGGAATTCTACAGACAGCTGCAATCAGCAATGGACAAGACCTCAGTTGGTAACATAAAAACTCTAATGGGAGACAGGAATGCCAAACTCGGAGCAGAAAACACAGGAAGAGAACAAACCATGGGTGGAGAAGAGCTCGGTGAGGTGATGAACGAGAATGGAGAATTGTTTGCAGAATTCTGTGCATTCAACGATTTGGTGATTGGAGGCGAGGTAGTGTGTACAAACACAAGGATATTCACAAAGTGACAAGGATTCGATTTCACCAGATGGATACAGTACACTAAAAAATCAGATCGACTTCATCTCAATGTGAAGAAAGTGGAGATGCAGCTTACTTGACACAAGACTAAGAAGAGGAGGGGCGGACCACTATCTAGTGCAAGGAACCTTCGAAATCAAGTTGAAAACCTTCAGAGAAGTTGGTGATAGACCACAGTTCAATTTGAACACCCAGAACAGAAACTGAAGAACGAAACTGCAAAGGACATCACCACGTCAGCTATCAGGACATGGGAGAAAGTGTGCAACATCCTTGAGGAGACCTGTGTGGAACAACACTGGAGCTCTTTGTAAGAGATGTGGAAAGAAACCTGCATAACCGTATTGGGAAGAAAGAAGATAAGGAGTGGATCTCGGTGGACACATGGAAGCTGATAGAGCAGGGAGACGAAGATTGTGAAGCAGGAGATGAACAAGTGCAGTACAAGGATGCACAACGGAAAGAAGAACGGATTACAACGTATAAAACATTGGACATGGAAGTGAAGTAGAGTGCGCGCAAAGACGAAAGACACTTCTACGACACATTTCCAAGTGAAGCGTAATAGGCTGCAGGTAGGAGAGACCTGACAACATTATATCAAATAACCATGTTACTATCCAGGAAGAGATCAACACAGACGAAACCAATGAAAGATAGTGAAGGAAAGCTGGTTACCAAAGAGGAAGAAAGAAGGAAAAGACATTGTGCTGACCACTTCAAAAAGCTCTTGAATCGACCACCACCTGCACTTCGTCTAGAAATACCACCTGCAGTCACAGAACGACAAGTGAACACAGGCCCTACGATGAAAGTGGAAGTCCTGAACTCCATAAAGCTACTGAAATGAAGGAAAGCAGCAGAAGAAGGTGGAATTCCACCAGAAGCACTGAGAACAGACGCACAGACAACATAGGACATGCTCACACCACTACTGCAGAAGGTCTGGAAGGAAGGAGAGCTACCTGCCAAGTGGAAGAAGGGCTACCTTGTCAGACTCCCAAAGAAGGGAGACATAAGCCTTCTCAAGAACTGACGCAGAATCATGCTGCTGTCCATCTGGAGCAAAATATCATGCCGCATCATCCTGGAGAAACTAAAGGATGCACTACATTCAAAACTACGACTGAAACAGGCTGGATTCAGCAAGTATAAATCATATGCGGATCAAATTGCAACGCCACTCTGTGCATCATCATAGAACAGAGCATAAAGTGGCATTCAGCTCACTACCTCAACTCCATCCACTTTAAAAGGCTTTCAACAGCATCGACCAAGAAGTAATTTGGCAACTGCTCCAACACTACGGAATACCACCGTCCTTTATCGAACTCATTCAACAGCTAAGCTATATGAAGACGTCACATGCCAAGTAATTCACAATGGGAAGCTCAGTGATGCCTTCGAAGTGAAGACAGGAGTAAAACAGGGCTGCCACCTACTATCACTCATCATCTTCCTGATTGTGGTCGACTAGATCATGCAACAAACTATGAGGAGCGAGAAGAGCGGGATAAGCTGGACCGGAGAAAAGATTCAGGAAGATTTGGATTTCACCGATGACTTGTGTCTAATGTCACACAAACTCGAAGATTTACAGGCAAAATCCAACAAGTTGGCAGAAGAAGCGAGGCAGGGCAGCGAAGACAGGACTTCAAGTGAATATAGAGAAGACAGAGGTGATGAAGATACCCAACCAACGCCACCACTAACAACAACAACAAGCTCCAATCACCATCAACAGGAGAAATAGCCCCTTCCACCTATCTAGGCAGCATCGTTTCAACTACGGGCGGCACAGACGACAACGTCAAAGCCAGTATCGGAAAAGCAAGATAGGCATGCATTGACCTGAAACCAGTATGGGGATCTTTTGCACTCAGCACAAAGAACAAGATCCGCATTTTCAACACTAGTCCAGTCAAGTCAATGTTTCTATATGGTTCAGAGATTTTTCGTGTTACAAAAAGGTTTCCAACAAACTACAGATGTTCATCAACAACTGCCTACGTTGTCTCGTTACTGAAGATCAGATGACCAGAAAGAATAAGCAACAAGGAACTGTGGCGTGGCAACGAACCAACGAAGCAAGAACTTGTCGCTCAACAAATATACAGAAGGAATTGGAGATGGATTGAATTAAACATACATTGAGAAAACGGTTTGGGGAAATCAGGCGCCAGGCCAGGCACTCGAGTGGAACCCAGTTGGGAAACTGCGAGTTGGGCGTCCGAGGCGAGGGTGATATGGAGGAGATAGTGTGAGAAAGAAATGAGAGCTTCTGGGCAGTCGTAGAGCCAGGTTGGAAAGATTGCAGAGAAGAGAATGGAATGGAGACGTGCTACTGAATCCCTGTGTTCCAGTGGGAACCCAATGGACAAATAATAATAATAATAATAATGTGAGATAACAGCTGTGGTTCAGCAAACTAGTGATTACTGAAGGTGAAGCAAAAATATGGGCCATAGAACGATTCAAACTAGAGACCTGCAAGTTACTCATAGATTATTAAATTTACTTGATAAACTTCTAATTTCTCTGTTATGCATTTCTTTGCAGCCTTTTGTGCACCATTATCTAGTCTCTAAATAAACGCCAAACGTCTAGGTTTGGTTGCTTTAGCAGGCTACTTGAACACATAAATAGGATGGTTAAGCCAAAAAGAAAGGCACTTCGGTGGCAATTTTGGATTCCCATCTGGAAGAACGGATAATGGTGATCGTCTGTTACAAGTGTTTTCGCAGATCAACACTTATTCCTGATCAAATCATATTTTGAAATAAAGAGATACATTTTCTCACTTCAAATCAACAGTGGATAAAGATAGACCATATTACTATCAGAGGGTCAGCGAGACACCATCACTCCTTCTGGAAAAAATGTTAAGACAGCAATCATGCATTGGTTCCTGGATGCATATATCTATCTCAATAGACGTGGAGGAAGTGAAATTACGAAACCATTTGGGTCGTAGTTTGATAATGAGAGCGCCATTACTGCTTTTAGCGACGAACCTACTAGACTATTATCGGGCTGTCACAATATCGCCCACTCTGAAGAAGCCTAGCATTATCTGCAGTTTACTGTTAAAACAACCAACCTTCAGAAAAAGGTTAGAAAACGTCAATGGATCTCAGCATTTTTGAATCTTTGTGGTCGCACTCCTGCAGGCTTCGAGCACTATGAGTAGCGGAAGAAAGTGAAGAGCTGGGGTTGGTAGTGAAGGCTAAAGAGATGGAAAAGGTAGCTGCTTAGACATTTCAAGGAAATTAGGGCAAAGCGTCAGCGGTTTTTGTAATTGCAGCAGCGAAGAATGGAGCTGTAATTCATTCTAATTGGAGACGACCAAATCAGTCGGCAGATCACTGAGGAATATTTCAACTTGCCTTTACGTAGTCTGCGTTCGCCCACTAGTTTCCTCAAAACTAATATATATATATATATATATATATATATATATATATATATATATATATATATATATATATATATATATATATATATACAATCTCAGTTCAATGAAATTCTCCGAACCTTAAGGTCTTTGACAATCCATGTTTTATCTGTTTGTTTTTCCAGACAACCACGGACATAGTTTTCCACTTTCTTATATTCATCTTCTTTGCTCCACATCACACAGATGAATGCAAAATCAATTATCGAGAAGATTAGTACTACTGCTGTATACCCGAAATCGCTTACTTCTTCAGAACTTCATGGGTATAATTCAGAAGATATACAGTCAAAAGTCTTAAGAGATAATATGCGACGTTATGTGGAAGATGCCCGAAAGGTAAGCTGTACTCTGAGTTATGCAAGAGTAGTCTATCAAATTTCCATGTTATAGATGTTAGTTGATTCCGTTGAATATCATATCTTTGATGACGACCCTCTTTCTACTAGGGCTAGAAACCATCGCACGACTACGTCTTATTACTAAGCGAAGTAATCGTACAACTGTCTGAAACACGTGAATTTACCAATTCACTGTTTCGAACTATATTATTATTATTTATTTTCCCTTGGGTTCATAGTGGAACATAGAGCTTCAGTAGCACGCCTTCATTCCACTCTCTTCTCTGCATTCTTTTCAACTTGGCTCCACTACTGCCCACAAGCTCTCATTTCTTCCTCACGTGACCTCCTCCATGTCACCCTCGCATCGGGCGCCCAACTCACCGTTTCTCATCTGGGTTTCACTCGAGCGTCTGGCCTGACGCATGATGTCCCCGAATGGTTTGTGGCACTCCGTATTGTTGAAGCAACTGACAAATTACTTCTCAGTCGATGCTGTCGAAGGCCTTTTCAAAGTGGATGAAGTTGAGGTAGAGATCCAGTTGACTGACATTCTATACTCTGTTCTATGGTGATGCGTAGTGTTGCGGTTTGATCCGCACATGAATTGTTCTTCCTGAAGCAAGCCAGCCTGTTCCGGTTGTAATTTTGAATGCCGCGCATCCTTTAATGGACAGCAGCATGATTCCACGCCATTTACTTTAAAGACTTAGGTCTCCCTTCTTTGGAAGTTCGACAAGGCAGCTCTTCTTCTAATCAGTGAGCAGGTACCTTTCCTTCCTTCCTTTCAAACCTTCTGCAGTAGTGGTATGAGCGTGTCCGCTGTTGTCTGTGCGTCTGTTTTCAGTGCTTCTGGTAGAATTCCATCTGGTCCTGCAGTTTTATGGCATTCAGGACTTCTGCTTTTGTCGGGGGCATGTGTTTACTGGTAGTTCTGCCGTTGCTGGTGGTATTTCTGGGCGAATTGCAGGTGGTGGTCGATTCAAGAGTTTTTTTGAAGTGGTCACCCCATTGTTTCCTATGTTCTGGAACCATAGGTCATGCAAAATTGAGTAAGGGGTAGATCGAAAATTCTTGAGCCAAGCTTCGTATACAGTTATCAAATAAGTTATAATGAGAATACGTTTTACAGTAAATAAAATAATGCGACCAAAACAGTTTTATCTCATTCTGAACTGCGGTGGGGCTTGCATAAAGCTCATAAATTCTGTCACCATTCTACTACCGTGAACAATTACTCATATGAATCGAATTTCAGTGACGCAGTTGAAAATTCGGTTAAGAGATTTTTAAGGAAAATATGCCTAAATTCTGATCGGGATTGAATGTTTCAAAAAGTTTTTCAGTCCAGAACTTCGATAGGTACATCGATGATTTTCCCAACAGTCATTACTGAGGTTACTCACAAACCTTCGTGGTGTGAAATATCTCGTCATTTTTAGAATCTTTGGATAACCGATCATCACATCATGTTAATAGATGCTTACAGCTAACACCTTCTCAATCTACTTCTTCGAACATCTGTTATCAGCTACAGTGGATCGAAGCATAGCATCATTTGACGTCATTGTGGTAGATTTTCAGCCATGTCATGAAGGGTTTTCATCCACTGATTCCTACAGCCTCAAAGAACCTAGCCAAGTGGTCTACATCTTCGCATATGACTCAGACGAAGAGTCAGAGACTTTATGGACTTGTTACACGTCTTGGTCTAGCCACCCTGGACCCTCTTCCAAACCAATCCAACTTCAGTTAACATTTCACGTCTAGGTAGGCTGTAGTTCAGCATGCGCAGTATTTGCCCAAGCCACCTTAGTTACTGCAGGTTCGCAACCCCATCGGTCGGCTGGTCTAGTACTAACCTAGTAACATACACCTAACCACAAAACTTCTCACACAGGGATTTCGCTACTAGCCAACCATATTACGTAGATACCTGTAGTCAAAAAATTATTAATTATTCATACCAGTTTTGAGTAGCTGTGTGTCACAACCACAAAATAAGAAACAGCGGACTACAATGCAGCATAATAGTCTTTAAACAGGTAGTCGGATATATGGTCAGTTGGCACGAGAGGCGACGTAAATTGGCAAATGCCACACAAGCCTTTCAAATTCCCAGCTGTGACTTCGGTAACAAGCAACCAATTTAATCTGGTTCATGAAACAGAGTGGTCAGCATATTCAAACACTTCACTCCCTATCTTTAAACTATCAGTTTTTTTCAGACTGATCCTGGGGTGCCATGTATCTCTTGTTTCTTCCGAATGATTTCGGTGTAGATATGGGGAGATCTATCAGTACACAATACGCTGTCTGTTTCTACTAAACAATATGACAGAATTTTTTGGCGCCAATTTTTGTTCAATCTTCTTGATATATTACAGTTTTATGAGTCTAGTTAAATGCTAGTATTCATCACGGGCTGATATCAGTTGGAAGAAGATACACTGATACATTTGGGAGTGTTCATATTAATAGGATTGTCGCATCTTGCAGAAAATCGGAAAAAGTAGTAGAATGTTAACCATTGAATTTTGATCCAGTGCCCGCTATGAAACCTGAAGGTTTTAGATTCAATCCCTGATGGGATAGTAAATATGCATTGGTGAAATGTTTCACACTAAAAGGAAACATTTATCCATTACCCCGCTAACGTTTTCAATGATTTTCAAACTGATCTCAATTCGTAATGACTATTAATAGGTAGCGATAAGGAATGGAAATCAACATTCAAGGTCATCAGCTGTTGGAGTAGAATAATCTTATTGGACGGTTCGATAGCCAATAAGATTTTATCATTCTGTTTTTGTGTTGGAATTATATATAGTTTATCAGACAAAGTTGTCATCCTCGCATGACTCACTGAAGAATAGGATGATGAGAGGCAACAGTCATGTTAGAATTCAGTTCTATTGTACGTCTGCTTTTAGTATCGTTATCACTTACGTCTTATTTCACTTGGTCACTTCATATATCAACTTGTATAAACTTCCAAAGGTAAACTTCTAAAACCGATCATTATTGATTTTCGATGATAATGTTATTATTATCTATTCTATTTTAGAAGAAACGGGCATTATGTCTTCGTATAGTCTTGTTGAAACAGAAAATCAACTTTCTTGAATGTGAAATAGAAAAATTACGTGAAGAGAATATCATTTTAAAGTGAGTTTATCATATACTTCTTGAAATAATATGAAAACTAGATAAGATAAGCATTACTAAAGTAGGTTTAGGGGGTGACTTTGAAGGCTACCGTAAGAACTAACAAAACGACCAATCAGGTTACGGTATTTTGGCTGGGAAGATGGTTTTTCATAGATTGGTTGTTTCATCACCTATAAGAGTGGCCTTTACAGTCACTTTAGGTTTAATGTAGGGAAAAACTGTTTTTGAATAAAAACATGAGGGAAGGGGTTCTTAAATATGTGTATGGCTAACACCCCTGACAGTTACTAGACAAAATTGTAAAGGATGCTTTCATGGCAGTCCTACGACCTTTATCAATAATGTGTATTTTGGAATGAATGATGATAATGGTTATCGGCCATCTGGGCTTATCGATGTTTGTGAATCTAGATGCTTTTGTAGCCATTTTGGTGCATATTCCTCAACCGTCAAGCGCATATTTCGATTAGTCGCTCCTATGTATATGTTTCAACATATACATATAAAGTGGTACATGAAGTGGGATATGACCCAATCGTTTATACAGTGTTAAGGTCTATGTTGCAAACTATTAAACCTCGCTTGTATTGAGTAAGACAAAAGCTCTAGATGCTTAATTATTGACCTGTCTAATTAGATTTCCTGTATATCAACTGTTTAATTGAATCATCTTGCCTACAACTTGGAAGTATATCGAAGAAAGGTAGAATGGTTGTCTCTCGCTCCTTCACTTGTTAGGTATGCGTTATGGTATTATGGTATGGTATTATGTCTTTCTAACAAACCTATCACATCTTCATGCTTGTCAGATATCACAATCATTATCATCAACACATCTTATATAGAGAGTAACTTTATTAATGAGATCACTAGTCAAGCCTTCAATATATGACGTGTAAATATCAGAAATGCATAGCTCAAGCTCATCATATCTACCGATTTATTCATTCACAAGAACAAGGCATGTATCAGCGAAGAAGAAGCATTCCTTTTCAATGACTTCATTGTCAATCTGTACAGTAGTTATAATTATACTCGGTAAAATGACAGATAATTCCACTAGAAAGAGTTGCTCAGTCAATATGCATAATATACAATAAGTGTAGGTAGTGGTATTTATTCAAGTGGAAGAGATAGAAAATAGATCACTGAATAAGGAGGAATAAATCAAAAACAAGTGGTGAGATAAGAGACATGTGTTGTCAATGTAGTTATAATTGGTGATATAATGATGAGAATAAAAGAGAAGTATACTAAACTGAAATGAAGTGAAATTGACAAAGTAACCAAAACTGGATTGTTAAGGCCAATGTAGAGAAAGTGGTTTTATAAAACACTTTTGAATGCAAAGTTTCGGTTTTTGTGTTCATGTATAGCTAATACAAGTGGTGGAAACATAAACCTTTGGAGTAGTTCAATTTAACTTTGTAAATTATTTTAAAGGATGAATATCAAGGTGTTGACCAGGTAATGTTCAACAACACGTTTTCGGAGGGTCTGCTTACATTGTCCAATCTAGTCAGCTACACAGGAGCATATGAACTTGTAAATACGTATAGATGTGGACATAAATGGAAGCCTATCTTTCACTCATTGACGAATCAGACAGTGGCTGGAGAATATCAATCTTAGTCTAGCAGCATAGAAGCTACTATCGATACATCTTGGCAGACAATTTTTAAGTACTTTGGCTGTGGTGTCTCCTTTGAATTCTGCATTCATGGTTAAATTTTTCTTAGGGACTGTAATAGGATGGGGAGTGGTTCATTTCTTCAGATGCTTATCAATAAACCTTTTAGGGTATCTGTTATTAGATAGTATTATTCTAAGAGTTTCGATTTCAGCATCCACCTTATCTTCTGAATATATTCCATAGATTCTGGAACATAGTGAGTGAATGAGATTTCTCTTACAACTAAAAGGTACATAACTATTGAAGTTAGTGAACTGTCTGGTCCAGGTTGGTTTTCGATAGACTGACCTTTGAATTGAGCCATCATCCCTTCTCTTTAACCATAACGTTTAGGAAGTGGAACGATGAGTTTAACCCTTCTTCTACAGTGAAGTTAATGGACGGGTGACAATTATTGAAACGTCTTAACAGCACATCCACTGAACATGTTTCGTCGCAAGTAAGTTTTAAAATTATTTCTTTAAGGGGCCAATTTTCGAGCTTTGCCATAAAGATATCAACCAGGACAGGGCCTAGTGGGGACCCCATTGCGACTCCATCCATCTGGTTACAAATTATATCATTGAATCTGAACTGTACATTAAACGTACATCTTAATATTAGTTCTTTTAGGTGGCTTGTAGATAACAGAATGTTAATATTATTACAATCAATGTAATCACATAGATAACAAACGGTTTCAACAAATGGAACAGGTAGAAAACGCGTAGATGTCATTATTTGCCATCAGAGGAATGTAGCAATAAATTACTACACACAAAAGATGAATAACCTTAGAGTAGATCTCATGGAGCAGTGTAAAATGAAACTGTACTCAACCTTCTCCTTGTATATGATTATTTGGAACTTTCTACGTGAGTTATTCATGTTTTTGGCATACTAGTGGGCTATCTAATCTACCTCTTCTATTGGCCATAGAAACTTACGAAGAGATATGTTAAGCTTCTGTAGTGACCCTATCCTTTATGAGAAAGGAAACCTTTCTGCAAGATTTCTGTCTTTTCAGATGATGTTTAATGATCTGCATATAAAGGTAGTTAGCCGGGATGGTAATGCTTTTTTTAAAGTTTTTCCAAATCATTAGGAAGTTTCTGAATGTTGCCTACAACTTCTACCGTGTTCGATTACATGTATTAGTATTTAACGTGATGTCTCTCCAACGTATACCGCATCGCATTCATTACAGTATACCCTATAAACGCATTTCTTAGGGGAATTGGCTCTTTTAATTTGGACAGGTATGAGTGTAGTGTTCATCACCTAGAACAATACTCTGATGCTGTAATCATTATTATTATTGTCCGGCGGTACTAACTGCTTACACATACTTTTAATACATCTGAGGATTTCGAATGAACAACATATTATTTACTGAATAGCATTATAAATAGGACAAGTTATTCTCATATACGCTATTATTGCGTAACTGTTCACACGTTGAATTACTGATCTAATGTAGACGATGATGAACCCTACAAAGATTTACAGACTAAAAAGGAAAGGTAATAAATAGGATAAATTTGGAGGATTAGTTGCCAAATTAAGATAGGGGAAATATGCAATCTGTGGTTTGAAGTTTCTGTAGCGGTTGGATTGGTTTTACGGGGTAGGGTTGCTAGCCTTATGCCCAACCTTCCCTCTTTAACCGGGTTTAGGACCGGCTAGTAACTTGTGAACTAGTTAAACAGGCGGGGGACTTCAATTGAACGTAGGGAAGACAGAGGTGATGAAAATACCCAACGAACACCACCACCACCACCAACAAGCTCCAATCACCATTAACAGGAGAAACTGAAAGAAAGAAGCTTATTTCACCTATCTAAGCAGCATCGTTTCAACTACAGGCGGCATTTCCAACAAACTATAGACATTCATCAACAGCCGCCACCAACGCTCGCTCGATACTGAAGACCAGATGGCCAGAAAGAACAAGCAACAAGGAACTCTGGCGTGGCAAAGAACCAACGAAGCAAGAACCTATCAATCAAGAAACATGTAGAAGGAAGTGGAGATGGATTGGGCATACACTGAGAAGACCATTTGGGGATATCACGCATCAGGCCAGGCACTCGAGTGGGATCCAGATGAGAAACAGCCAGTTGGGTGTCCGAGGCGAGGGTGATATAGAGGAGATGGTATGAGGAAGAAATGTGATCTTCTGGGCAGTGGTGCAGCCTGGTTGTAAAGATTGCAGAGAAGAGAGTGGAGTGGAGACGTGATACTGATGCCCTATGTTCCACTAGGAACCCAAGGGAAAAAATAATAAAATAATAACAAACATGCAATCTACAAAACAGGATGAACTGAGTTTTTCGGTGTAACTGTCAGATTGCTGAAAGGGTTTATCAACACCAACTAGAAGTAAAGCTACATGATGATAAATTTGACTGGTAGAATCTGGAAATCTTTCGAAGAACAGGTTTGAAAGTTGCAAGAGAATTTCGAGAAGCATGACATTCCAACGAAAAGTTAACCAATACACACAACACAATAATCAAGGGTGAACTGACTGAATAAATCAATCATGAAGCACACAGTATGACAACAACAAGTAGCACAGTTTCACTCTAATCAGGATGATCGAATAAAATTTAGGGTCAAGATATGACAAGAATCTCTTCACCAACTTACTGTTGAACAACACTCAAGGTTAGCGAAAGCACCAATATTTGAGGACTATGCAAGCTACTCTAATCGATGTCAACCAGGAAGCCCACACAACCCAGACTGACAACCACTGACTCAGATGATTCTTGTCATATCCTAATCTGGTGACTCTTACCTTCTAGCGTATTTATATATCTTAAAGGGTATGGCTGCTATATACCCCTAATTTTACACAACTTTTCCTTGATATTTGTCTACAACCTAAAAATAACTTATCAATGCTGTTTTCAGACTGTTCTCAAGGCTGAAATCTCATTGGTCAACTTTTTCTAACCTAAATGTGGATATAGTGTTGTCAAGGTCATTCAGAAATGTATATAAGCAGCATCACTGTCAACTGTTTTGACTATTGTTGTGACAGCAAAAAAATCTCCAACAACGTTCCGTCTTCTTTTCTTGTCTTCGCGTATCGATGGTATTGTTGTTGTTATGGTGGTTAACGTAGTAATTAGCGTTTAGAGTCGATTTGTTCTCATCTTAGGTTCACATTGCTTGTAGACTGTTAGGTTGCACTATCGGTTATAGCAATGGTGAGTTAGCGTAGACGATGGCTCAGTATGGTTAACATATACTCGAAGAATAACAAATTGACAAGGTTGAGAACCCGATCAGCTCATTTGTCTCCTTCCTATAGACCTCTGTGACTATTCTTCTTAACATTTTACTCATGTGGTAATTTTTTTTCATCCACTCCTATTTCACTTTATAAGTCACCACTCTCATTGTGTAAGATTAAACAAAAATTTAAGTTTTTAGCAGCATTCAAGTAGGTTATTGTCTTCTCTACAGAAGTAAGACAAAGCTGTCTAATATCAACCATGATCTTCCTGATTGTGGTCGACTGCATCATGCAACAAACCATGAGGAGCAAGTAGATGGGCATACGCTGGCTGGACCGATGAGGACACCCTAGAAGATTTAGATTTCTCCGATGATTTATGTCTGATGTCGCACGAAGTCGAAGACCTACAGGCGAAAACTAACAAGTAAACCAAAAGGAATTATTCTCTTTCACCTACCTAGGAGGCAGCATCGTTCCAACCACAGGCAACACAGGCACAGATGAAGATGTCAAAGCAGCCAGAATCGGTAAAACAGCAAGACAGGCCACCCTTCATTATTCTGAAATCAGTGTGGAGATCTATTGCACTCAGCATGTGAAACAAGATCCGGATTCTCAACACCAATCCAGTCAAGTAAGTCAGTGCTGCTATATGGTTCAGAAACTTGGCGTGTCACGAAAAGCATTTCCAACAAACGACTGACATTCATCAACAGCTGCCACCTACACTCACTCGATACTGAAGATCAGATGGTCAGAAAATATAAGCAACAAGGAACTCTGGGAACGAAGCAATGAAGCAAGAACCTATCCCCCAACAAATATGCACTGGAAGAAAGTGGAGATGGATTGAGCATACACTGAGAAGACCATTTGGGGACATCACGGGCCAGGCCAGGCCGACGAGTGGAATCCAAAGGGGAAACGACGAGTTGGGCGTCCGATGCGAGGACGACATAGAGTTCATGTGAGGGGGAAATGGAAGCCTGTGGGCAGTGGTGGAGGGAGGTTGAAAACACTGCAGAGAACAGAGTGGAATGCAGACGTGCTACTGAAGCCCTATATTCGACTAGGAACCCAAGGGAAAAAATAATAAATAATAATAATTATCTTCTCTTTGGCATAATAATTAAATTTTATCCATCTAAACTAGATATCATCCACATTTTATATCGCATGTATGCGATAAGAATGGCTTCCAACTGTTTTTTTTTCAAACTTCACTTGACAAACAAGTGGATCATAAATGCCACTCAGTCTAGAATAATCGTGTATTGACTCAGTTCGCTGTAACCCGCCGGATCATATCAACACATGGAACAAAGATGTCAATATTATCGAAGAAAAACAATGAGAACTAGGTATTGGGATATTAACAGCGGGGAAAGAAAAGGGTTAAAAAAAGTGTTGAAAAGCCTCCAATTTGCATAAAACATTTTGTCAATCTAAACATTTTTAAATCGTCGTTTTCGCGCCATTTTTTACGGCACGATAAGTAGTTCATTTCTCAAGCACCCAATTCTTTAAGGTAATCCACTGATTGGTTAATGGTCATCTTTACTATGTTAATGCTTTAAATTGTGGACAAGGTCATTTTTCATGTATATATAAGCATTCAGTCTTCTTGTCTATGTCGAGGCCAGCGTGCCTTATCACGAAGCCTTACTAGGAGTCCTACGGTTCTGTACATGTCTCAGGTTAACAGTTAAAGACTTCATAGGTTATCTACACCTTCTTATCTGGCCATCTCATGTCTATCGAAAATGATACTAGTCGAGACTAGAAAACAGTTTGACGTGAACAGTTACTCGATATGTGAGTCGTATATTCTAACCATCTGAGGCATTAGAGTCTCATAATGACTAGTAAACAATACCGTATCCCTGTGTGTGCTATATAAAACAGCCAGGCAGTTGAACAGATAACCTCATCAATTATTTCAGTATTAATGACGTTGTGACACTATGACACGCGGTCGATGCTAAAAACACCTGAACCTGCCTCATCTTCTTTATACTTAATTGCTATGCTTCACAGCCATATAGCAGAACAAAGTGAAGTGCAGTGCAGTATACCCAATCCTTAATAGATAATCTGATATCACAAAGGCGCCACAGATGGTGTAATTTGGTGAAAGTTAAGCGACACTTTTGTCAGCATATATCCAGCAAAAATGCACCAAGATGTAACATAAAGAGTAAAGCAGTCAGAAGTGGTAGAAAGTAAATGAAAGAAGAGCAAGAAAGAATGTTGAAATGCAGCATGACGATTAAGACGAAGGCATTGAGTAAATAATGATACATTTTTCAACATGCTACTTAAACACATGAAAGTAGTATAAATCTAAAGTGAATTTATCATCTTGTTATGTTGTTTTTCAAAAGAGACAATGTGTCAGCATCTGAATATGAACGAGTATCCTTAGCATACAAGGATTTGTATAGACGTCATCAAGAATATGAACGTATTATCCTGAATTCAAATGATCACAATTTTTTATGGAGAAAACATCACAGTCAACATGAAGTCGAAAATAATGAAAGTTAATTGAAGACATTTACCAACATATTCACAGGTATCAACTTTAATCTTACTAGAATTTGTTGTGATAACACTCTTATTCGTATGTTTCTTGACCTAAAGGTGATATTTGACTCTTTCAACCTTGAAGTTTTGTGGTAATGTTTGATTGGATAGGGAATACTGAGCAAGTATGTAATGCTAATCAAAACTCTTTCTTAGCTCGAACTCTCGTAGCCTTGTCATGGCATATGGAAAGTCGTCATCTGAATTGATAACGTCCACTGGTGTCTGACAGGGATCTTCACTGTTTAACTTGCTTACAAATGTAATAACGGACAAAATCTTAGGTACGATTGACTTCACAGGGATCGATCTACTCCCTAGATATCATCTAGTTAGCTTGAAGTGTACAGACAACAGTATCCTGCTAGGTGAAGACGCTGATAGAATCCAGGGTTTCCTGAAGGTTTTGAGCAGAAATATGAATATGCTTGGCTTGCATCTCACGAAAGCGAAATGTAGGATGATGCTCCAGGACTGGTCTGCAGCTACTCCCAATACAACGATAGAGAGTGAGGTAGTGGAATATGTCAACCAATTCACTTACTTGGGGAATTGCATCAGCACACTGAACAGGCTGGTTTGCTGTCATAATCTCAGCTCGGACACAGAAGGCACGTTTAGCCTTTGCTAACTTGGGTCATCTCTGGCGCCGACTGGTGAGATATCCGACTATCTA